CTTTCTTTGCCTGCCTTTCAAATACAATGAAGATTAGTAAATAAAAGTTACAAAAGTGTAGTGTTGTTAGCAATCCGAATTTAATTGGTGGGATTTTCTGATGGTGTAAGACCTTGTCACTGATATATCTAGAACTGTGTTTGGCATTGGATCCTGGGGGGGATACACCATGAATGAGGAGCCCAGAGCCTACCCTCCTATTCCCATCATTGTCTTACATACTTAGCGAGCCCTAGACAGAGATGAGGGGGCTGGGATTGGGGTTCCCAGAGGGTAGACACAGGGGAGCCCCAGGATCTGGCCTGTTGAGCTGTGGGCGAGAAGAGGCACCCCATTAGATCAGAACCATCCCAGTAATGAGTCAGGGAGCTAAGATAAGTTTTAGTGACCTGGGCTAAGTCCTTAACACCACACTGGGTCTGCCGTCCACTTCCTGAACAATGGAGAGAAACTGCAGGTGCAGAGTTGTCCCAGGGTGGTTGAGTGCCATTGGGAAGACAGACCCTGCTGTGAGCAGAGGGAAGATTCATGGTCTGAAGGTGATGTGCAGGTCAAGGGCCATGACTTCTGACCTGGAAGGCAGTTGCCTAGATGCCAGCCAGGCGTGGTTAGTCATCTACAGTTAGTTTCATTTCAGCCAACACATTAGCCGTCCTTAAACTTGAAAGCCTGTCATGTTGGATTTAGGGCATCTCGGTAGCAAGGTGTTGGTCCTGCCCTCTTGCTGGATGGCAGAGGAGGGTGGGAGCAGCCCGCTCCAAGCCTGCCTGCCTGCCGGCCGGCCGATGCACAGCTCCGTGCTTGTCTGGGTTGGTTACCAGTTTCCTCCCTCCCAGGGTATGCTGCACAGCCACTCCCAGCCCACCTCCCAGTCTCATTCTGACCATGCCTACCTCACCCTCCTGAGGCCACGCCTCGCTCTCAGCACTTGAGGGCTGGCCATAGCCCAGGCCCTCCTGTCACCTCCCGGGTCCCTCACGGACCGTCTGTCCTTTGTGGCGCAGGCCAGAGGCTGCCCTTCTAAGTGGCTGCCTTTCCTGCCACCTCAGCTTTCGGTCCCTGCTCCCGCACGTTTGCCTCCTGCGGGGTTTATGTGTTCTCTCGTCTTGGCTTCCTTGTGAGTAGGAAGCTCAGTCAGGCATCTTTCTGACCCAGACCTGTAATGTGCTAGGGATTACGGTTAGCCTGGACAGGGAATTTGTTGGAATAACCTAGGGTGGTAGTCTCTCTTTAACGGCACTCACTTTGTCACGGGGCATCCTGCACGCCTCTGGCACCTGCCTGTGGTAGCAGCTGAGCTTGCCCTGGGCAGGTGCCTCCTGTCTCTGCCCGGCCCACTTTCCCAACAGCTTGTCCTGAGTGTCATTTCAGCTTTTCCGTCTTGCAGTGTCATTGTCCCTGGTATCAGAGAACCACATATCTGTGTGTGGCCCTTGTACACTCAGGGCAAGACAGGGAGCAGGTGTTTTCCATATTGGTAAGTTGTACAGCAGGACACAGGTGAGAGAACGGCTAGGCGAATGATGTTGGTGACGGGTGTGGTGCACGGAGGTGCCTACGTGGGTTGGTATGACTCAGAATCCACATGACCACCTTGTACCCAGCACTGCCCTCCCTGTCAACAAGCCAAAGCTGACTTGGCCTCTGAGTCTCATGGGCCAAGAGCCGTTTCTCTTTCTGGAAACTTCTGTGCTGATGAGCTCTGCCATGAGCCAGGCACTGCACTTCCTCCCTTCTGTTTGGTCCCTTGAAACGTCTCTGGGAGTAGAAACAGCTGCCCTGCCCACATCTGACCTAGGTTCCAGGCGTCCACACCAATGCAAGGGATAGCGGGAGGTGAATCTGGCTCATGGAAATACAAGCTCGGGCGCTTGGCTCATTTTCCTCACAACACAAAGTCAGGGAGCTCGGGTGGTCAGTGGTGGCCACTGACCAGGTGCCACCTTTCCCAGTGAGTGTGCCTGTGTCTCCCAGCAGGTGGCATGGTCTTCAAAAGCTGAGCCAGGAAGCACTGGGGTTTCCTCTGTCCCTTTGGGAGGCGGGCCCTCCCTCCCTCCTTCGCTCCCTCGCTGGTGGTCTCAGCTGCAGAGGGGGACACTGCTGCAGTAGGGAGGGGCCGACAGGAAGTAAATAAAGTATCAGATTGAGGCCGGGAAGCCCGCTTGAGATGGGTGTGGCCAAGACAGGACCAGTGAGGGGAGGGCCTGGCATCAGGAGGAAGGAGCAAGAGTGGCAGCATCAGACCTAGGGACCCTAAAGCCCCAGGGGTGCATGTCCAGGAGGGGCGGGGCTGAGGAGCTGGAAGAGACCTTGTAGATGAAGAGAGAAGCTAGCGGGTTGCAGGTTGACAGGGTGTGGAGAGAAACGGGCCTGAAGGGTGCAGGTTGGTGAGTGGGCAGGACGGGTGCCTGGACTCTGCGGCCACTCTTGCGGGAAGGTGAAACCTACAGAGCGAAAGTGACCTTCTGTTTTAAAGCCTTTTTTTTTTTTATGAGGCTTGGCTTGGGTGCACAAAACAACACTTAGAGTTTGCGGTGTGATGGGTTTTGCTGATGCAGAACCTCGTGTCCCTCATGTCTAGACTGTCTCCAGGTCCACGGGCAAGGGGGCCTGCCGGGGCTTGGTGTGCAGGTGTGGAGCGGGGCCTGTGAGGGAGTGAAAGAAGCTGCGTTTCCTGCACACCCTTCCCAGGGGGCTGTGCGGCACTACCTCCCCCTGCACCATTGACCTCTTCTATGGAGAATCACCTGGCATTTTATTTCAAGTACAAAAGGAGGTCAGGGAGAGGCCAGTGAGCAGTCAGTGCCTGCCCTCTGCAGGCGTGAGCTGGAAGGAGTTCTCCAGCTTCGCCCTTGGCCCTGACCTTGAGCTCTGGCTCCTGGGCTTCAGCAAGTGGCCATTTCTTTCATTTTATTATAAACCCAGAATTTTACAAATCCTTGTTTTCCAGTTTTCTTTGGTACTTCTGCTGGACAGATAGAGGTCTCTATGTAGGGCTTGCTCTGCTGTTGGCACACTAAGCCTGATCAATGGTGTGTGTGAATTCTTTTTAAATTTTTTTTAAATGTCATTTTATTTGAAAGGCAGACAGAAGCTGAGACAGATCTTCTGTCTACCAGTTCGCTTCCCAGATGTCCACAACAGCCAGAGCTGGACCAGACTTGAAGCTGGGAGCCCAGAACTCCATCTGGTCTCCCATGTGGATGGCAGGGACTCATACACTCGAGGCAGAATCGGGGTGGAGGTGGGCGTCGTGGTGCAGAGGGTTAGCCCACCATCTGAGATACCAGTATCATATCAAGAGTGCTAGTCTAAGGGGCAGGTGCCGTGGCGCACTAGGTTAATCCTCTGCCTGCGGTGCCGGCATTCCATATGGGTGCCGGTTCTAGTCCCAGTTGCTCCTCTTCCAGTCCAGCTCTCTGCTGTGGCCCGGGAAGGCAGTGGAGGATGGCCCAAGTGCTTGGGCCCTGCACCCCATGGGAGACCAGGAGAAGCACCTGGCTTCGGATTGGCACAGCTCCAGCAAAGCGGCCATTTGGGGAGTGAACCAACGGAAGGAAGACCTTTCTCTCTGTCTCTCTCTCTCTGTCTCACTCTCTCACTGTCTGTAACTGTATCTGTCAAAAAAAAAAAAAAAAAAAGTGCTAGTCTGAGTCCCAGTTGTTCCGCTTTGATCTAGCTTTCCTGCCAATGCACCTGGGAAGGCACTGGTGGTGATCCAAGTGCTTGGGCCCCTGCCACCCAGGATGGAGTGCCTGGCCTCTGCCTGGCCTAGCCCTGGCTGTTGCAGCCATTTAGGGAGTGAATCAGTAGATGGAAGATCTCTCTTCTTCCTCTCTCATTGGTATGCTGCCTTTCAAGTAAATCTTGGGAGAAAAAATGGAGCTGGAGCACACATCCATGGACTCTTATAGGGATGCGACATCTTAAATGCGGCATCAAGTGCCTGCCCCCCTCTGAGTTGGTCCTGAGCCTTTGCCTCTAGGGAGGACACAGTCCACACTCTAGCTTGGCCAGAGAGCAGTAATGTAAGTTGGTCCTTGCTGCTCTTCACTCCCACTGCTGCTGCTGCTGCTATTATTTTAAGATTTTTTAATTTATTTGAAAGGCAGAGCTACAGAGGGAGGAAGGGAGAGAGAGATCTTCCATCCACTTGCTGGCTCCCCAGATGACTGGAACTGCATCCAGTCTCCCACGTAGGCGCAGGGGCCCAAGCTGCTGTCCATGGTGTATTAGCAGGGAGCCGGGTCAGAAGTTGAGCACTTGGGGCTTGAGTGAGTGCCCGTTTTGGATGCTGGCACCACAGGAGGCAGCCTGACTTGCTGTGCTCCAATACTGGTCCTGAGAATGCATGTTTCTGTCCTTTCTTATAGATGGCAGAAACTGAGCCCAGAAGGACACCTCCCTGGGGCCTACGACCCCACTCCCATGTGCTCCTCCCGGGGAAGGGATGAGATTGCCTCTCTGGGGCGTTACTGCGGCCTCTCATAAACGATGAGCTTCTGCTTTGTGCCCAGAGGCATAGGACACAAGCTAGGTGTCACTGGGCCCCTGAGGGCTGTGCTGAACCTCTGGGGTCTTGAGGGAGGCCTAAATCTTGTGGGGGTGGGGGTGGGGTCACCTGGTGTTCCTGCAGACCTGGGAGGTTGGCGGACAGCGCCGTGATCCTCATCGCCTCCCAGCTGCAGGGCCTTGAGGGGAAGATGGGGCAGGACTGTGTGACTGTTGAGCACCAGCACCTGGCCCCAGGGCAGCCAGCGTGTGGCTTTGGGCCCCTGAAACATGTGCTGGTGGACGATGGCCCCTGGGCACGTGTGGCGGGTGTGGAAGTCAGAAGGTGCGTTCTGAGGGCAAAATGAAAATGGTGGAAAACCAGGACCCATCCTGGAGAGGCCTACGGTCGGCAGCGAGAGAGCGGGAGGCGCGCTTGCCTGCAGAGGCTAACTGTTGGTGGCCACTGTGGGGAGCAGTGGGCTAACCCTGTCTTTTTTTGTCTTTAGTCATGGGACATTTTTTTCCGCAACACCAATGCCGGAGCCCCCCCAGGCACTGCCTACCAGAGTCCCCTTCCCTTGAGCCGAGCCTCCCTGGCTGCCGTCGCCCAGGCTCAGCCCAATGTGGACAAGCTCGTGGAAGACCACCTGGCAGTGCAGTCCCTCATCAGGGCGTATCAGGTGAGTGGGCAGGCATCCCTGTGAGAAAGGACACAGCACTCCTAGGCCACCGTCAGCTTTGCTCGCGGTTGTCGCTGAGCTGAGTCCCGGAGCTTTCCCCCGTCAGGCCGCAGGGAGGTAGCAGTCGCACACAAGGGAGGAAAGGAGCAGGCTCACCCTGGTCGCATGGGTCTCCCCTACCCCATGCCAACCCTATAAGTAGCTCCTTACTGTTTTCCTAAGTGCATGAGAGAGATGTGGCCAGGGAAACCGAGTCAGTGCCAGACACCCCTACCTGGAGGGAGCAGTGGCTGGGAGGGCGGTGCTGTTGGGGGACACTGTGGGAAAGTCACCCCGTGGAGTCCGGGAACACAGAAGAGAGGGCCAAGCCTAGAGCGTGTGGGGAAGGGACAGGGCCCTGCTAGAGCAGCAGAAAGGGCCGCCTCCAGCCTTTCTGAGAGCAGTCTCCACGGCTCTTCCAGCCTGCTGCCTCACATCTGGGGAGAGCCCAGAGCTGAGTGCTTAGGCCACGAGAGGCGGGCTCTAAGGAGGGAGTTGGGGTAGGCAAGCAGGGCGCCTCCCTGAGGGCAGTCCCCTGGGAGCTCAGCTGGGGGACCTGTGCCCGCTCTGTTCTGCTTTGTGCTCCCGTGTCCTGAAGTTGGTGGCTTGCCTGTGTCCTCCACGTATAAGGCCCCTAGTACAGGCATCCAGGGCGACTCAGGGAGGGCCCTGGGCCACAGGCCCCTCCTGCTGTCATCTGGCGGGGAGGGCTCTCCCTGGGCGCACAAGGAGACGTGCAGGCATTTCCACGGTGGACCTGACCACAGGTAAGAGGCACAGCTGGTCCCTCCCCACCGTTGCTTGCACCTGGCAGTGACTGGTCAGCACCTGCCCCTTCTCAGAACCTGGCAGGAAACTGGATAACGTACCCAACACTGAAGACCTCAGGATGTCCTCAGGGGTGTCCTTTCTCCCTTGGGTTTTCTCAGAGGGCCTCGCTGCCACAGGGCTGACAAGGGCACACCTCCGGGGGATGTGGGGGAGATGCTCATCCACGCCACCATAGTCACCACCAGCACCTTCACGGGCTTCCTGTGCGCACGCTGGGGTCCCCTTTGCCAGCATGCCGGATTCCCGTTTCCCCGCACACGCTCCTTTGAGACTGCTGAGTTTAGCAGAACCAGGGAGCTAGTTTATCCCTTTCTTCTGAAAGCACAGTTTTACCCGAGTGCCTTGGAAATAATCCCTGGCTGTTTCAGCTGTTGGTTTTGTTGTGCGGGGCCCTCGTGCTGTGCTCCTGGCTGGGCGAGATGCTCGCGGCGTGACTTTCCCCAAGTGCCCTGCCCTCTGCTTACTGACTTGCTTGTGTTGTTATTCCAGGTCAGGGGTCACCACATTGCAAAACTTGATCCTCTCGGAATTAGTTGTGTAAATTTTGATGGTGCTCCGGTAACTGTTTCTTCAAACGTGGGTGAGAATTAACCTGTAAACACTAATTTTAATGTAATTTTACTTTTTTTTTACCCTTCCCTCTTTTTTTCTCCTGTCCTTTTGTGTGTGTCCTTCCCTCTCATCGCTGGCCCTCGTAGATCCGAGGGCACCATGTAGCACAGCTGGACCCCCTGGGGATTTTGGACGCTGATCTGGACTCCTCCGTGCCCGCTGACATTATCTCATCCACAGACAAACTTGGTGAGGGTCTGGGAGCCGTCGGCTGCGTTGCTTGAGCTCCTCTCGCTGTGCCAGCCCGTGGTAGCCAGACATGCAGGCAGGAGGGCAAGCTCCGGAGTTTCCCTGATTTCTGATCACTTGAAATTGCCCGTGATGCAGCCTCATGTTGAAGGAGGGTGGCGGGCAAGTTATTTGTGTATTTATATACGGATTCCAGTGTCCAGCCAGGTTGGCTGGAGTCTCGATCTGGAGAATGAAGTTTTGTTCAGGGAGCTCTGGCATGGGGAAGAGCTGGCCCGCCCAGGGCAGGAGGTTCAGAGAACAGCCTGTGCCGAGCCCGCCACGCAGTGCCGGTGATCACACGGAGGAAACTGGGGGCTGCGTTCCCGCAGCGTCAGGAGGCAGGGCCTTCGGGAGGTGCATGTGTGGCCAGTCGGGTCTTGTCACAGTTGCCACGTGTTCCCACCCAGACCCGCCCTCCTCGTGAGGTGACGCGGGTGTCAGGCTGGCCTGTCATCTGTAGTTGCTTCCAGAGTTAATCTGCTTTCCGTCACCTTGCTGCTAACCGTACTAAGGAAATGACAGCGTGACTAATTGAAACGGCCAGGCGTTCGCAGCAGGCACCGCATGCTGGTGAAGTTGATCACCCACCTGCTAACCCGCTTTCAGGTCGGGCCGACTTAGCCTCCTCTGGGGCACTTCGTGGGAGGGTCAGAGAAGCCGGCTCTGGGGCTGCCAGGACGTGGTGTGACGCCTGCTGGCGGTGACTCTGGAATTGGTGTTGGCAGTTGGTGGCTGCTCCTGTGTCTTGGTTTCAGAAACCCTCCCAGATGATAGGGGATTGCCTCTGCATCACAGCAGCCCTCCGCGGGTCCAGGAAGGAGGCTGAAACCCTTTGAGTCTGAGTAGGACCAGTTGGGACTGTAGCAGGCGCGTGAGTTGAACCTTGCTCCTTTGTTCCGTGATGACAACTTTGTGCTCGCCAGAGTGCGCCTCCCTTCACAGTGTCCCCAGGAGAGCCTCTTTCCCACTCCTCACCCCTTACAGTAGACACCCCTGCCCTCGAGTCTCCTCCCCCCGCCATGCTCACTGCCCGGTCGGGGCTCAGGACGGGGAGCCACTGGCTGCTGGACTCTCCTGCCTGGTGGGAGAGGAGCACCTCCCTGTGTCGGTCACAGTGGGGCTGGCCTCTTCGCCCGCCTGAGCCTGCACTGTCCCAGCTCCCCTTCCCCGACACCTGCAGTAGCCAGCATCTTCAGATGTGCCCTCTCGGTGGTTCTCGACTCAGCACGGTGGTTACCAGAGAACTGCAGAGTGGTTCTCTGCCCGCCTGGATCAAGACGGTCAGGCCCACCACCCCCACCACCCCACCCCTCCTGGATCAAGTCGGTCAGGCCCACCACCCCACCACCCCAGCCCGCCTGGATCAAGTCGGTCAGGCCCACCACCCCACCACCCCAGCCCTCCTGGATCAAGTCGGTCAGGCCCACCACCCCACCACCCCAGCCCTCCTGGATCAAGTCGGTCAGGCCCACCACCCCACCACCCCAGCCCTCCTGGATCAAGTCGGTCAGGCCCACCACCCCACCACCCCAGCCCGCCTGGATCAAGTCGGTCAGGCCCACCACCCCAGCCCGCCTGGATCAAGTCGGTCAGGCCCACCACCCTACCACCCCAGCCCTCCTGGATCAAGTCGGTCAGGCCCACCACCCTACCACCCCAGCCCTCCTGGATCAAGACGGTCAAGCCCACCACCCCCACCACCCCAGCCCTCCTGGATCAAGTCGGTCAGGCCCAACACCCCACCACCTCAGCCCTCCTGGATCAAGTCGGTCAGGCCCACCACCCCCACCACCCCAGCCCTCCCTAGGTCCTCAGCTGCCAAGCCAGAGCCAGGACCCGAGGGGCCTCCCTCCTTCCAGCAGCAGCGTGGTGAGGCGGGAGGGCCAGAGCAAGGTCACCGAGCAGGTCTTTGGAGGAGACGAGTTTTGAACCCTCTGGCTGGGAGCATTTAAGAAGCGCCCAGAGAGCCGGGGAGTAGCGCCCACTTGGGGAGAAGAGAGTGCATTGTAATCCATCCATCTGAAACAGTGTGACGTAAAAATTGAGACAAAGTCTCTCGCATGCACACATGGACACAGTGTGAATTCCTTACAGGTTTGAGACTGTAGGAAAATTGGTCTCTCACAGCTCTCACCCTTGATGTGGGCGCAGCCTCAAGAAGGGAGAAGGCCCAGTGTGAGTGCCAGGCAGCGTGGGCAGCTCCTCCAGCCCCGCCATCCCTGCCGTGGCCATCACTTAGCCCTGTGTGCCTCCTGTGCATCGCCTGTGCAGTGGCAGTGATGGCACCTGCGACCGTCTCAGATAGTGCCTGGAGCCTGCTAATTATGTGAGAGTGAGCTGAGTTAACAAATAACCTCTGAGGTCAGTGGCCAGCAGTGGTAATGAGGTGGACCCAGCGGGGGGCCCAGGACCCTGCAGGAAACAGGCAGGAGCCGCGAGTACCTCGTGCCAGAACTGGAACACAGGCAACACAGACTCCATGGAGGGGAGGGTTGGAACCAGGAGACCAGTTTTTAAGAGGTTGGGAAACTGGCCTGGGGCACCTGTCCTCACTTCCCAGAAATTCTCCTGACCCCTGAAGCCGCAGTGGGAGAGGCTCAGCAGTTAGACTCTCCCCAGGCAGTCCTGGCCAGGTTCACCGTCACATGCTGCGGGCACACACATGTTACGAGTGCCACAGAAATGTGACGGAGACGCTGGGGTTTGTGGTTGTTTTCATTGAGGTTTAAGAAGTCAGTTTTAGGACAGTTTCTCAGGTAGATGTGGGTTTTGTTTCCTGACTGCAGGTGATAGCGGGAACAGGGATATTTGCAGAGAATGTGAGTTGAGCGCTAGGCTCACATGACCCCAGCAGCCCATCTTAATTGGTGCCCACTTGCACCGTAGCCCCCTCCCTGAGAAGGAGGGTTGAGTGTTCAAAAGGAGACCACAAACCTGGGAGGGGAGGGCTAGTGGAGTCCCTGGGAGTGCCCTGTATGGCTCTGGCCTAGGGGCAGGGCAGCCCACAGCCTCCGGCAGGGACGCTGGCCCTAATGAAAGGACATGGTTTAGGGTGCCAGGGTAGAGATGGGAGTCAGTTGCCAACACCAGATTCAGGGGGTTGTTAGCAAGTGGAGGAATACGGACAGTCCCGGGGCTGGTGCCCTCCTCTGCTCTCGCTGTCTGAGTGGAAACAGGTTAACCTGCAGACCTAGCGGCTGTCCCCGGCTTGCCTTCGGGTGTAGGTTCCATGCCAGCCACCCCTTCCTTGTCTGGTTTGGGGTGAGAAGGGTGGCATCTCATCCCCATTACCTCCAGTGCTGACTTTCTCCTGTCTTCCAAGTGTAGCATTTAAATTAGATTCTCATTCAAAATTGCCTCCATCTGTGGTTTATGTATAAATTCTGTAACTTGTCGTAGTGACAAAGATAATTGAGGTTTATGTTACCCCATTAAGTCCCAGATTTTCATTTCTGCAGATAATTTGATAGCATAATAATCACAATTTTAAAAAGATTATTTATTTATTTGAAAGGCAGAATTACAGAGAGCAGAGGGAGAAAGGCTGAGAGAGAGAGGTCTTCCAACCACTGGTTCATTCCCCCAGATGGCCACAGCAGCTGAAGCTGTGCCAATCTGAAGCCGGCAGCTTCTTCTGGGTCTCCCACGTGGGTACAGGGGCTCAAGGACTTGGGCCATCTTCTACTGCTTTCCCAGACCATAGCAGAGAGCTGGATTGGAAGTGGAGCAGCCGGGACTCGAACTGGCTGCCCATACTGGATGCCGGCACTGCAGGCGGTGACTTTACCCACTATGCCACAGCACCGGCCCCAATAATCACAATTAACATGAGTTTATATTCATTTTATTGCTCAATTTAAGACTTCATGGGTATCCTGTGTATAGGCCCATGGGATATAATGGGTTAATGAGAGATTTCAACATAAAAGGTGAAATCGAAACAGCAAATTCTGTCAATTAATAGGAGAAAGGTGTGACTCTTACCCATTTACCATTAGTGTTTCAGGTTGCTGATAAAGCTTTTCGGAAATGAACTTGGGTTTGGTAATTAAAAAGTCAGTGCACGGGCAGTTGTTTGGCATAGCAGCTGAGACAGCTACATCCCTTACCCGAGTGCCGGGGCTGGCGTCGGCTCCAGTCTGTTCTAGCGTGTTTCTAATGCACACCCGGGGAGCAGTGGTGCTGGCTCCGGTAATTGTACCCCCACCACCCACTTGGAGAGACCAGGTTGAGTCCCCAACTTCAGCCCGGCCTGTCCCCACTGTTGAGGACATTTGGAGAGTGAACCAGCAGATAGGATCTTGTTCTCTGTCTCTGCCTTTCAGATAAGTGAAGTTAATTTTTTAAAGAGATAATTCAGGAGTTTCAAAGATATGCCAGTATTTCAGCTGCGTAACCTCTAGACCAAACACCACCCAAGAATTCCAGCTCTTGAAATGAGTCGCTGCTTGCTTCTGTGTCCTTGAGAGCACAGCGAGCGATGACTGTCCTCACGCCCTCCTGACATACCAGCAGTGCTCTGTCCCTTGAGGGCTGAGAAGAATGAGCTAAAAATAGAGTTGATTTCGCTCTCCATGTTTCAGAGCAGTGAGGAAGCAGTCGGTTTGCAAACGCTGCTGTGTGTGGCATGTCCCCTGAGGGACTCAGCAGGGCTCTGTCAAGCTGAGGATGCCCCTGCAGGGGGCTTGAAGTCCTGGTAGACATGCTCACCTAGTCACCCTCGGAGAGTGAGGCCTGGGCCATGCAGACACCTGACGTCAAGAGGATTCCTCGTCTGTAGACCCCCAGGAACTGGTAAACAGTCTGCTTAGCTCCGAGTGTCGCTGCGTGGGTCCTCACTGCTGCTCCTCACGTAGGGGGTCGTGGCCACCTCCCAGCTGCTCTGACCCCACCAGCATCCGCGTGCGCTGCTCAGGAGGTGCTGGCTAGGACGCTGGCAGGCTCTGTCCTGATGACTGGAATGGCTGCTGCTGTTCTCTTCCCTCTCCTCCTCTTCGGTTGTCTCTCTGCTTTTATTATAAAATGCAGAACATTTCAGGAGGATACGAAAACATCCACTTCCCAGTCTCCAGGATATGAACATTTGGCCAGATTGCCTTTGTGTGGCCCTTTGTACCCATTCCTCCCTGGAGTTGCGGCGTGAACACACCGCGGCGCCGCCCTGGAGCGCTGCTTCTTGCCATGTCTCACGGCTTGGTTGTGAAGGATGAAAGAAGAAAGATCGCTCATCCTTGTCTTGAGCAAAGTGCTGGCACTTGTGTGCAGAGCTCGGAGTGTGTCTTGCAAGCTGCTGGGCTCTGAGGTCTTGGGTGGATGCTCTTGTCCTTCAGGGGAAGGAAGCAGAGCCTGACCCCTTGGTCCTGCCCATGGGAGTCCTGTGGACCCTGTGGCCTGCTCTTGGGATCTCTTCTGAGTCAGGTCGCACTGTCAGCTGGCATGCCCGGGCAGGGAGTCTGCAGAGGGACTGTGAGGTAGCTCTGAGTACTCAGCCGTCAGCCCGTCCATGCAGCCCTTTTGCCACCCGCCTTCCTGACCGGACCCCTCCAGCCCGCACTCCCAGTGTCAGGGGTCAGGAGCATACTTTGCGTGTCCAAGTAGGCGTCTTGGTGTTCACCGGCGGCTGAGAGCATTCAGGTGGTGTAGCCTCTGGTGAGAAACTTGCAGGCAGAAGGGACCCGCACCACTGAGCGTGGCCAGCGGCCGTCTGGGCTCTTCCCGGCCTTGCTGCTTCGCCGCAGGCTGCCTTCTCGGGAGCAGAGACCGGGCCTGCTCCCATTCTTCAGAGGCCTCTGGGATCGTAAGGCCCGGAGTGCGGGCCGTTGCCCAAGCCCAGTTCTGAGAAATGGCTGCCCTGAAAATGAGGCTTTTCATTTTCTTGCCCTCAGTTTTCCACGTGACAGTCCTCTAGGTGAGGCACACGCGACTTCCCAGGAGCGCACCCAGCCCAGCGCCTCTCGGGCCCGAGGCTGGGACGCGAGGAGATCAAACGACGCTGCCTGGTGGCTGCCCAGTGTCCGGGGAGTGCCCCCCCCCCCCTCCCGCTCCAGCTGTCCTGTGCACAGTTCCATCGCGCCCCGACCCCGCCTCCCACCCTCTTCTCCTCATGTGTCCCTGTGCCAGTGTCTGTGCCTGTGCCTGCGGTGGTGATGTGGTCTCGTGTTTGGTTTTTCCTGAACTAACTCTCGCCTGTCTTTTTCCTTCTGCGCTCACCCATGCCCCCACTCTGCCTCTCAGACCTTGCAGTTTTCAAGGAGCGACTCCGAATGCTAACAGTAGGAGGTATGGAGAGGGTGAGACTGTCGCCTGCCGAGCCGAGGACCTCGCTTGGACAGGATGTGGGGCTTTCCTCGCATGCGTTTGGGGAAAGTTGGCACAACTTCTGTCCGGTGTTTGAAAGCTTGTCACGACGTTGTCCCTTTCATGTAGCCACTAACACACAAGTAGAGCTGCTGACCTGGGGTCTTTCTGTCCCTGTCCATTGTGTGTTCTGAGAGCATTCCTCATCTCTGCGTGTGCGTCCCCACCGCTTCACAGGCAGCGGCCATTCTCAGCACAGCTTGCCTGTGGCCCCCGTGGTAGCCTGCGGGGACTTGAGGCTGTGTCACTTCTGCATGGGGGCTTGCCCTGTCCTCCACGTTCCGTGCTGCTGCTTGGGCTGGACTCTGCATTCTCCAGATCCTGCTTCTGGGGCAGGACAAGATTTCCAGAATGTTCCCTGTTTGAAGGACAACCAGAGTCTTCGTTAAGAGCCTGCTGGGAGCCCTGCTGACCCTCGGTCTGCACGGAGCACGTTTGAGGAATCCAGAGTCGGGGTGCGGGTCATCTGCCTGCTCTCATCCCCCCATGCTCAGCCTCTTCCTTCCACGCAGCTCCTCTGAGGAGATCTCTTTCTCCTCTTACCCATAATATCTGTGAGACTCTGCCTTGACCTAAACTTCACGTGGGATACTTGGCGTGCGTGTGCAGTTGTGAGCACTTTCCCTGGTGGTGACACTTTGGAAGCTGTAGCGCTTGGCCTTTACTTTTCCCGGTGAATTTTAGAGTAAGTGTGTCTTTCTACGTGTAACATAGCCGACACTTTGATAGGAATTGTGTTAAACCTTCAAGGGAGAATTGACATTTTTACTGTGTTGTCTTGCAATCCACGAACACAGTATGTCTCTCCATTTATTGAGATCTTTGATTTCTTTTATCAGTTTTTTGTAGTTTTCAGTATTTAAGTTCTTTATGAGTTTTATATTTCTAATTTTGTGTCCACACTTTCATTGAGAATGTATAGAAAACAATTGATTTTTTTTAAAAGATTTATTTATTTGAAAGAGTTACACAGAGAGAAGGAGAGGCAGAGGTGGGGAGGGGGAGATAGAGGTCTTCCATCTGCTGGTTCACTCCCCAAGTGGCTGGGACAGCCAGAGCTGGACCGATCCAAAGCCAGGAGCCAGGAGCTTCTTCCAGGTCTCCCATGCAAATGCAGAGGCTCAAGGACTTGGGTCATCTGCTGCTGCTTTCCTAGGCCACAGCAGAGAGCTGGATCGGAAGTGGAGCAGCTGGGACATGAACTGGTGCCCATATGAGATGCTGGCATTGCAGGCGGCAGCTTTACCCACTATGCCACAGTGCTAGCCCCAACAGTTGATTTTTGTGTTTATGTTGATGAACTCATTTATTCCAGGACTTTCTTGGTGGGGGTGTAGTTTCCTTGGAATTTTCTGTATAGACACTTAAGCATCTGAAATAGGAGCAGTTATTCCGCCCTGTCTGTCCTGTGTGCCTTTTATTATTTTCTCTCCTCGCTGCTGGGGAGCACCATGTTGAGAGAGTGGTGAGCGCAGTCTTCAACCATGAAGTACATTGTTCTGTAGGCTTTCTGTAGATGCTCTTTGTCAAGTGAGGACGCTCCCTTCCTTCTGGTTTTCTGATAGTTTTTATTGTGAATGGGTGTTGGATAATTTCAGGTACGTTTTCTGTGTCTCTTGATAATAGTCATAGATTTGTCTTCTTAAGTATAGAAGTATTTTTTAAAGATTCATTTTTATTTGAAAGAGAGAGAAGGAGAGACAGAGCTTCTATCCACTGGTTCACTCCTCTGATGGCTGAAACAGGTAGGACTGGCCAAGCTGAAACCAGGAGCCAGGAGCTTCTTCCAGGTCTCCCACATGGATGGCAGGGGTCCAGACACTTAGGCCATCCTCCTCTGCTTTTCCCAGGCCATTGACAGGGAGCTAGATCGGAAGTGGAGCAGCCGGGACATGAACTAGCAGCCATATGGAATGCCAGCATCGCAGGCATCCGCTTTACCCACTGGAAGATTTAATGATAATGTAGTAGATTGTATTGATTGCATATCAAACTTTGAGTTACAGAAATAAGCCACACTTGGTTACGGTATTTAACTTCTATAGATTGCTGTATCTGTACTCATCCAAATTTTTTTGTATCAGTATTCATGAGGGATATTGATCTGTAATTTTCTTCTTTTTGTCTGCTTTTGTTATCAGTAATTCTGGTTTCATAAAAATAAACTGAGAAGTGTTCTTCCTATTCTGTTTTCTGGAAGAGATTGTATTTAATTGGCACTAATTCCTCCTGAAACGGGATTTTCCAACCGAAGCATCTGGCCTTGCGGGGATTTGTGTTTGTGATTTGAGCCTCAGATGCTCTGTTTATTGGATGAGTAATGGTGGTTTGTGTTCCATGGTATGCAGTTGTTCACGGTATTCCCCTCGGATCCTTCGGATGTCCCGAAGGTCTGCCCTGGCACCCTGTTTCATTCCTGGTGTTAGTAATATGCGTGTTCTCTCTCTCTCTCTCTCTCTCTCTCTCTCTCTCTCTCTCTGTCTTGCAAGAGATGTGAGTACTGTTTATACAGATCCTGTCCACAGGTCGGTTGCTTGTTCCTTTTTCCTTTTTCGGTCTTTGCTGTTCTGCTGTTTCCGAGTGCATGCTTCCTGCTCTTTGTTGTTTTCCTCTGCTTCTTGGTTTTGTTTGCCGTTTCTCCTCTTCTGTAGCTCCTTGGGGATCAGAAATGGTCTTTTTCCTTTTGTGGTGTATGTATCTACTACTTAGAAATTTCCTTCTCTGTGCCTCTTTGGCTGTCCCAACAACTCTGTATTTTCACTCAGTCCTCTGGCTCATAGGTTATTCCAGAGATGAGTTTCACCATTTATATAGGTTTCTAACGGCCCGTATGTTGGCTGCCTTGGCATTTGTTCTGCAGCCACGTGCAAAGCAAAGCTGCTGTTGGGTGCAGCGTCAACATCTGTGTTGATTTGGTCCTGTTGGTGGTCGCCGAGTTCTGCGTCCATGCTGATGTCCTGTCTAGTTTATTGGTCATTTGTGGAGAGGAGAATTGAGACTGTCAGCTATGGAAGTGAGTCTCTGCTTTCAGTCCCGTCAGGTTTTGGTTCCCATGCTTTGCAGCTCTGTTTTTGCTGCGTACACACTTAGGATGGCTGTGGCACCTTTTTCATGATGTAAACGCGTCTGTCGCTGACCATTTTCTTTCCTCCAAAGTCAGCTTTACTTGATGCTAATAAAGGCACCTGCAGCTTTAATTTGATGAGTGTTTAGGTCACGTGATTTTTCTATCCTCCTCCTCAAATTTTTTTCATTTTATTTAAAAGGCAGAAAGAAAGCGCTCTTCCCATTCACCGGTTGACTCCCCAGATGCCCACAACAGCCGGAGCTGAGCCAGGCGCAAGCCAGGAGCCCAGAACTGAGTCCAGGGTGACAGGGACTGAGATCCTTGAGCCGTCACCTGCTGCCTCCCAGGGTGTGCATCCCCGGGAAGCTGGATTGCAAGTGGAGCAGCCAGGGTTGTACAGGGCACCCAGACAACAACTCCTGCACCACAAGCCTACCCAGATTTTCCATTCCTTTTTTTTTTTTTTTTAAGATTTTATTTTATTTTTATTTATTTATTTTGACAGGCGGAGTGGACAGTGAGAGAGAGACAGAGAGAAAGGTCTTCCTTTGCCGTTGTTCACCCTCCAATGGCCGCCACGCCCAGCGCACTGTGGCTGGCGCACCGCGCTGATCCAAGGCCAGGAGCCAGGTGCTTCTCCTGGTCTCCCATGGGTGCAGGGCCCAAGCACTTGGGCCATCCTCCACTGCCTTCCCGGGCCACAGCAGAGAGCTGGCCTGGAAGAGGGGCAACCAGGACAGAATCCGGCACCCCAACCGGGACAGAATCCGGCACCCCGACCGGGACTAGAACCCGGTGTGCCGGCGCCGCAAGGCGGAGGATTAGCCTAGTGAGTCACGGCACCGGCCTTTTTTTTTTTTAAGATTTATTTATTTACTTACTTCCATCTCTTCCATCCACTCCCAAAATGCCCACGGCAGCAGGTGCTGGGCCAGGTGGAAACCAAGAGCCTGGAACTGCATCCATTTCTCACCTGTGGATGGCAGAGGCCCAAGCATTTGAGCCGTCACCTGCTACCTCTCAGGGTTCGTCAGCAGGAAGCTGGATTGGAAGTGGAGCAGTGGGCGTGAATCAGCGCTCAGTATGGGATGTGGGTGAACCAAACAGCAGTGCAATCCAGCTCAGCCTGCCTCACGGTAACGCCCACCTCATTCTGTATTTCCAGCCTGCCCATATCATATATGACGTGAGTTTCTTACAGATGAGTATATATTTGAGTCTTTTTTTTACCCGTTTTGGTTTTCGTGTTCCTTCTTTTTCTGATGTTCCAAGAGTCCTTATGTTCATTCCTTTATACGTCGAGAGCTTCCTTTAGGGCAGGAGTGCTGGTGACCGTCCTCTAGTTGGCTTTCACCTGGAATCTCTCGAGTCTTCGTTCTCCGGGGCCTTTTTGGTGGACACCGCTCTTTCGGCCCCCTCATGGCCTGCCTGTTCTGGGAGGAACCTGTCCCTCCACGTGTTCTCCCTGTTGCTGAGGTGCCCCTCCCCCCAGCTGCCTCCCGGCTCTGTGCCTGCTTTCATTACCACAAGTTTACCTAGCATGTGTTCTGCATGGTTTGTGTAGGCGTGTCCTGTGGACTCTCGGTTCCTGGAGTCTGTAGGTTATCTTCTGCCGTGATTCTCTGCGTGGCTTTTCATCTCCCTTTCTCCTCCACGCTGGGCTGTCCCTGCACAGGTGTGAGAGCTCTCGTCGTCTGTCACAGACCCCTGAGGTTCTCCTTCTGCTCTTCCCTTTTCAGATTCACCTGATCCCTGTCCTCTCCTGCCACCGAGCCTGCCCATTGGCAGGTTTTTTAGACATTTTTCTGGGTTTCCTTTGTGCTGGTGCTTGCTGGTTGTGACTGCGTGTGTCTGTGCATGGCCGTCTCGTGGCGAGGGCTCCCCGAGACCGCTGGTGACTCCCACATCCGCAGCGGGCACCACTGTTGGTTATCTCCTCCCTCAGCCTGAGTGCGTTCCTGTTGAAGCCAGGACCTGGCTGAACTCTCCTGTTGGACAGACATCTGGGCTGTGCCCTGGGGTGGGGGGCAGGGTGCAGCCGTGACACTGCAGGCTGGCAGTGGGGGGCCATGATGGCCTGCTCAGGGTGGCTGGGGCTCTGGTGTTTTGTGAGGTTTGGCTAGAGTAGGACAGCTGTGATCGGGAGGTTTTCTGTCTGCGTGGGCTGCCCATTCCATCCTTGGCTCCAGCAGCTGGTTTTCTCTACTCTCTCGTGGTTTCTAGGTTGCTGATTCTTCTGCCCCAAGTCTGGGGTCTTGGAGGCAGAAAGGAAACCCAGCAGCCTCCCTGGCTGCTCTGCCTTCTTGCCTCCACCATTCAGGGTTGGCTTGGGTTGGTTTTGCACGTAACACCTGGGGTTTAGCTTGGTAGGGGAGCAGGTCTGCTCCACCTGCCTGGGGCAGACGCCTGCCGGCTTCGTTTCTCAGTGGCCGCCGTGGGGCTGAGCAGTGAGCTCAGCAGACAGAGTGAGGGCCGGTCCTGCTTCGCCTGGAGACAGGCAGTTCTCACCTAGGGGCGTGCGCTTGCCTGGTGAAGCCCACCAAAAGGGTTTTCTGACAAAATGCGCACTCTTGGGAGACTGTGTTCCCCGCTGTCCCTGCCCACGTTCTAGCCGCGAACACTGCCTCGGGTGATTGTTTTTCCTCCACAGACTCTAGGGCCATTTCCTGCGGCTGGGCCGTGGATGTGTGTGCTGTGCGTGTCCCCGGGCGAGCAGTAGCTGTCAGGGCCGGGGCGGGGCGGGGCGGGCTGCACTGCGTCACTTGTGTGTCTCCGGCTCCAGGTAAAAGAAGCCAGATGTGCTTGTTTTAGTAAGACAAAAGGACTTAGTGACACAGAGCGTGCTTCTAAGACCTGAAGACTGTCCTGCGACATTAGATCAGTAAAGGCTGCAGTTCTCAAACCCAGAGTCGGAATCGCCTAAGGAGATTCCTGGCCTGCCTGAGCCAGCCCCGTCTGCCTGGGGGTGGAGCCTGGGGATGTATCTGTGAGTCTCGGAGACTCGCGTCCACCGTTGTGTCGGAGCTGCTGTGCAAACCCCGCAGCAGCCCTGGCGTCTCAGCGAGTCACGTTGGCACTCGTGGCTGGGAGACGGCGAGGCCAAGCCAGCAGCCGGGGAGCTGCAGAGCGCTGCGGACAGCTCGCCTCTCCTTCCTGGCGCCTGAGGGGACCCTGGCTGAGCTGTCCACGTGTTGTCCTTCGTCAGCCACGTCCGTTGCCCCGCTGTCACCCACACGTTTCAGGGTAGGTGCTGGGCGGGACATTTGCCAGCCCTCCACCGTGAGGTTTCCATGGCGTGAAGGGGTTGAAGTGTTTTTGCAGGCAGGGAGACAGGCCAGGTGCTCTGTGAGCCGCGAGAGGCAGGTTAGACTCGGGACTGCTGGGTCCTGGCTCAGAGTGGGCGTCCCGCTCGAGCTGGGTATTTCAGGAGGAGGAGTCTGTCCTTACTTACCTTGAGGCCGGGGGCTCTGTGCCCACCACCGCAGCTCTCGGTGGACTGCTTGGCTCCTGGCAGCTGCTTCCCTCACTTCTTGATTCTGGCTCTTTGTCACCTGCCACACACGTAGTCTTACCACAGGAGCACCTGTGGTCCGCTGTGCTGTCAGGTCCTCGCTTCCTACTCAAATTCCCTCCTTAACTCTTTAGCTTTCTGATTGACTTACACAGTGCCTTCTCATGGCCCTCTTCTCAGCCCCAAAACTGGGACCTTGAAATTTGTCTAAATTATGACTAATTGGAACACTGAGCTAATATATTCGTAACAGGAGCTTGATTCTGACTTACCTGTGGCATTTCTCGCTGCAGTCTCAGTTTCTGTCTGTGTCACGTTCATACATGTCAGGGTTTTTATATGACTTTTTCTTTTCTTTTTACTCACCTGGGGCGTTCTTCCCCTTCCATAAACCGTGGCCCCTTATGGCTCGCCCCGTCCCTCCTCGTCCGGCTTGTCCTACCCACGTGGCCTGCAGGGTTCTACGGCCTGGACGAGTCTGACCTGGACAAGGTCTTTCACCTGCCCACCACCACTTTCATCGGAGGACAGGAGTCGGCGCTGCCCCTGCGGGAGATCATCCGTCGGCTGGAGGTGAGGACGAGTGTGGCCCCAGGAAACCCGTGTCCCCACAGCGGGCGCAAGATGAGCTTTCTTCCATGTAAGGGAGGAAGCTGCTCTGGTGCTGTTCTGTAGATCTGTCTCTTGCAAAGGTAGAGAGCTCTTCCATCTGCTGGTTCACTCCCAGGTGTGGGCCAGGCCGGAGCCAGGAGCCCAGAACTCCGCCATGGTCCTCCATGTGTGGCAGGGGCCCGAGTACTTGGGCCGTCACCTGCTGCGTTCCCAGCCGGATTGGAGCAGAACAGCCAGGACGGAACCAGCACTCCAGTGTGAGACGGCAGTGTTGCAGACTGAGGCCTACCTCACTCTGCCACAGTGCCAGCCCCAGAGAAAACATCCTGCCTTCACATCCCTTTAGGAGTTTATTTCAGTTAGCCCCACCCTCAGGACAGGTGCAAACAGGCACGGCCCCTCAGATGGGTTCCTTCCGCTGGGTGGAGGCTCTCTTCCTGCCCCCCCCCCATCCTTCTGTGTTTCTGTTCTCCTTCCTGTGCACATGTCAGGCTAGAGTTGTGACACTGGGCTGGGCTGCACCACAGTGACCGCTGTGGAGGGAGAGGGTCTGGTGAGAGGTCTGGGCTGGCGTTCGTGGTCGCTGTTAATGCTGCCTGGTCTTCTGAGCTGAAGAACCCAGTTTAAGGTAGACAGAGAACTCCTTAGGGTGGGCTTTGCAGATGCCGGGCATCTTGCCCACCCAGGGTCTGAACCCGATGGTGGCTCCTGATGTCCCCAGCAGGCCCACTGGGCTCTCAGGCAGCTGTTCCCGGGCTGATGTTGGCATCATCTGGAGGACTCTCAGAACTGTCCCCTGCCTCAGAGCCATGCCACCCCAGGGGTCAGCTCCTGCTCCCGCGGAGTGAGGTCTCTGTAAAGTTCTCTTGTCACTGGTCCCACACTTAGCAGAGTGGCTTAAAAGGCCTAAGTGTCAGATGGTGCATTTCCCATAGTCTGCCAAGCATCCGCACTGTGGCCAGCATCTTCCTGGAGCTGCTCGCTCCGGCTTGTAGGTGAGAAGGGGCCTGGGGAAGGTGTGGGCGGGGGCGGGGGGCCTTAGTCCCAGACGAGGTACCTTCATACCCTCCCCGTATCCCCCTCTGCTGCAGCGGCACCACATTGACCGCACTCTGCTCCTGCCCTGGCCAGCGTGGGTGCCGTGAGTTGTGTGTAACAGTCGAGTGCTTGCATGACTTTCTCAGTACTGAAAAGAGAATGTGATAAATGGGGTCAAGTTAGGTAGGAAAATTCACCTCCTCTCTTTCTACCAGGAAAGCGTAAATGCTGCTTGTGGCTCCTGTTACATTTCTTTTTCATTCATTTTTTTCAAATGGGAGAGACAGATCTCTTCCATCGCTGGTTTGCTCCCTAAAAGCCCAGTAGCAACACAGCCTTGCCAGGCTAAAGGTGCAAGCCAGCATCTCAGTCAGGTCTCCCGTGGGGGTGACTGGGACCAGGTCCTGGACCCATCACCTGCTGCCTTCCAGAGTGCACACTAGCAGGAAACAGATTGGGAGGAGAGGCAGGCCTCAAGTGAGATGCAGGCCCCTGGGCAATGTCGTAACTTATGCCAAATACCGCTGATCCGGAGGTTCTCATGCTGCCGAGGCCCACAGATGGCACCCACGGAGACCAGGCCTCCGAGGGCCCTGCCCCCAGTCACTTGACTGCCCATGTGTCCAGCCCCTTCCCTGGGCTCTCTGCAGTGATCTGTTAGGACAGGAAGTGTGAAAGCAGTCTGTCCTCAGGGCACCCTGTCCTCAGGTCCCCCCGGAGCCCGGCAGCCTTGGTGGATAGCTCCTACTGGGGTCACGTCCCCTGTCCTTCTCGGGTCCCCCCGGAGCCCGGCAGCCTTGGTGGATAGCTCCTACTGGGGTCACATCCCCTGTCCTTCTCGCGTTCCCCCCGGAGCCCGGCAGCCTTGGTGGATAGCTCCTACTGGGGTCACATCCCCTGTCCTTCTCGGGTCCCCCCGGAGCCTGGCAGCCTTGGTGGATAGCTCCTACTGGGGTCACATCCCCTGTGGTTCCTGCTCGCCCTGTCCCAAACTGCAGAGGGCACACGGTCTGCACAAGGGCCGCCTCCCTCAGCCCACGCCGCAGCTCTGCCTGTTCTCAGTGAATGCAGGTGATGGTGCCCACTGCCTTGTCCTTAGAAGGAACTTGAGCTGTTGCCACATGGCGTGGGGATCACGCGGTTAGAGGAAGTGTGACCAGTCTTGCTGTAATTTGTCTCTTTTGAGAGAGACACAATCAGCCCCTCAAACTCCCGCCCTTTTTGCCTAACAACTAAGGCAAGGACAAAAGGCACGGCGGGGTCTGCAGGCCAGGAGCGCCCTCCGAGGTCATAAGTGGACCCTGCTGAGTGTGTGGGCAGTCTGCTTTGTGGAGTGCTCAGTGACAGCAGTGCAGCCGCCTGGCGTGCAAGGACAGGGCCGGGTGTGGGCAGCACGCTCCGCAAGGGTGGACTTGGTAGTGACTGAGGGAGAGGGTCGCCCCTGCCTCCAGCCGGCCACTTGGGATGGGGAATGAGGTGCGGGCATTGCCACCTACAGTTGGCAGCCTCCATGGACCAAGGGAAGACGGGGCCTCTGAGGGGCCCAGTGGCACTGGGCTTTGTGGAGCGCCTTTGCTTCGGCTGCTCAGTACCTCGGGGCCCAGGGGCATGTGTAAGGAGGAGACAGGACAGTGTCCGTGTGGGCCCTGAGTGAGGGGCAGGCTGACCACACCCTCCCTGGCCTCCTTGTGTATCTGACTTAGAAGTTCCCAGTTTGGTCATCCTGCAGGCTGTTGCCTAAATTCCAAGGCCTCTCCCAGCAGCATTTTGTCCTTGTCCCCAGGGAGGAGCTGCTCTGGCCTAGGTGACAGTGAGAGCGGCCGTGTGGCCGTGCCTTCGAGTTCAGGCAGGGTCTGCGCCGGCTCTGGCTCTGCAGAGCAGGGAGCAAACGGGCTGAGGTCCAGCAGCCCATTCCCTGCCCGTGCCCGCTGCTCTCCTTGTCTTGGGAAAGCCACAAGGGGGCCACGGGCGGGAGCCTCTGGGCGGGGGACACGGCTCTCTGAGGCTCAGGGCTGTTGTGAGACAGCTGAGCGAGGTCTGCGAGAGTCCTTGGGGGCCAGGTCAGCGTCCATTCCCGCTGCTGCTCCAGTGCTGCCCCGGAGTTTGCTCTCAGCGCGCTGGACTCAGGCGGCCCCGAGATGGGTTCCTGCAGAGCTCTCTGCTCTTCCGGTTTCCTTCCTGCTGAGCCCTTCTTTCTCGGGACCTCCCACTGAGCTGCCTCCTGTGTGAGGACACCTAACAATGCCCCCAGACTGTCAGGAGCCCCCCCCCTCCTTCAAGATTTATTTGGAAGTAAGTTACAGAGAGAGATCTTCCATCCACAAGTTCACTCCCCAAATGGCCACAGTAGCCAGGACTGGGCCAGGCCGAAGCCGGAGCCAGGAGCTTCTTTGGGGTCTCCCACCTGGGTGGCAGGGGCCCAAGCACTTAGGCCATTTCATGTTGCTTTTCCCAGTCCACCAGCAGGGAGCTGTAGCAAAAGTGGAGCAGCCAGGACTTGAACTGGAGCCCATGGGGATGTCAGCGTCCCAGGGGTGGCTTTCCCCGCTACACCACAACTCCAGCCACCAGGGCCTGTCTTTAGTCATGCGTGCAGTCACACTTCCTAAAAAGTAGAAGTTAAAAATGTAAAAGCCTGGGGCCGGCGCCGTCATGCAGCGGGTTAACCTGGAGTCTGCAGTGCCGACATCCCACATGGGTGCTGGTTCGAGTCCTGGCTGCTCCACTTCCAGTCCACCTCCACGCTCATGGCCTGGGAAAAGCAGTGAGGGATGGTCCAAGGCCTGGGCCCTTGTACCACGCAGGAGACCCGGAAGAAGCTCCTGGCTCATGGCTTCAGCCTGGCCTAACCCCGGCTGTTGGGCCATTTGGGGAGTGATCCAGTGGGTGGAACATTCTCTCTTTCTCTGTGCTTTGTCTCTAACTCTTTCAAACAAACAAATACATCTGAAAGCAATGTGAAAGCCTGAAACTCTCACTGGCCCTTGAGCCCTTGGTGGCCTGTGGGCCTCCCTGTCACAGTGCCAGTCAGGGTCTCGTGAGGATAGCCCATCTTCCCACGGTGGACATGGCTCTGCTCCCCCAGCCACACGGCTTGGCGGCATTGGAGGAGGAAGCCCCTTCTCCACAGCCCTGTGGCTGAGTGGGCAGCCGGCACTCCAGCTGGCCGGGCCATGCATGTGACACGTGGCCTTGAGCCAAGCAACCCCTGCTGACCATGCCCTCTCGTGTGCGTGACACAGATGGCCTACTGCCAGCACATCGGGGTGGAGTTCATGTTCATCAATGACCTGGAGCAGTGCCAGTGGATCCGGCAGAAGTTTGAGACCCCCGGGGTCATGCAGTTCACCAACGAGGAGAAGCGGACGCTGCTGGCCCGGCTTGTGCGCTCGACCAGGTACACACGATGCTTACAGGAGAGCCATGCCTGTGCGGGTGGCTGCAGTGGTGTGTGGGGGAAGGGCAGCCAGGAGGGGAGAGTCGGCCTTGCGTGCCGACTCCTGCCCCGACACCGGGACCAGCCCGAGGGACGTGATGCGCCAGGAGGGGAGAGTCGGCCTCGCATGCCAGCTCCTGCCCCGACACCGGGACCAGCCGTGATGTGCCTCTGTGCCCGTGCAGGTTTGAGGAGTTCCTGCAGAGGAAGTGGTCTTCTGAGAAGCGTTTTGGTCTGGAGGGCTGTGAGGTGCTGATCCCCGCCCTCAAGACCATCATCGACAAGTCGAGTGAGAATGGCGTGGACTACGTGATCATGGGCATGCCACACAGGTACCACAGGCCCTGAGCGTGCTGGAGGCACTGCGTGGGCCCTCCTCAGGTGCCAGCCAGCAAGCTGGGGACATGCCAAGTCTTGTTTTCCAGGGGTTCTCAGCACCACTGCCCCAGGGTGGCTCTGTTGTCATTGTCACAGCCAAGGTCACACATGGTTCACATTGGCGTTGGCCTTGCTCTACAGTGGTGTGTTTTTGTTTTTAAGATTTATTTATTTATTGAAAGAGTTACAGAGAGAGAGGTCTTCCATCCACTGGTTCACTCCTCAGATGGCCGCAATGGCCGGAGCGGCACTGATCTGAAGCCAGGAGCCAGGGGCTTCTTCCGGGTCTCCCATGTGGGTGCAGGGGCCCAAGCACTTGGGCCATCTTCTACTGCTTTCCCGGGCCATAGCAGAGAGCCACATCGGAAGTGGAGCAACCAGAACTTGAACTGGCACCCATATGGAATGCCGGCACTGCAGGCAGTGGCTTTACCCTCTACCCCACAGCACCAGCCTCATCTGCATTTTTTTTTTTTTTTTAAACAGGCAGAGTGGACAGTGAGAGAGAGAGACAGAGAGAAAGGTCTTCCTTTTGCCGTTGGTTCACCCTCCAATGGCCACCACGGCTGGCGTGCTGCGGCCGGCGCACCGCACTCATCCAATGGCAGGAGCCAGGTACTTATCCTGGTCTCCCATGGGGTGCAGGGCCCAAGCACTTGGGCCATCCTCCACTGCACTCCCGGGCCACAGCAGAGAGCTGGCCTGGAAGAGGGGCAACAGGGACAGGATCCGATGCCCCGACCGGGACTAGAACCTGGTGTGCCGGCGCCGCTAGGTGGAGGATTAGCCTATTGAGCCGCGGCGCCGGCCCTCATCTGCATTTTTTAAAAAAATTAAATCCCAGTGCCCTGTTGGGTGTAACCCAGAACCAAGGCTGCACGGGGCCAGGCCAGGGAGGAACATTTCTGTAGCTGCCACTACTCCACTGCCCACACACATGGCCTGGGGTGCCTGGCCAGGCTCAGGGCCCACCTGCGTTGCCGGGGAAGCCGGGCCGTGGGGCACAGCTCACTCCCTCTGTCCCAGGGGGCGGCTGAATGTGCTGGCAAACGTCATCAGGAAGGAGCTGGAGCAGATCTTCTGTCAGTTCGACTCTAAACTGGAGGCCGCTGATGAGGTGAGGCCCACGTCAGACCCCGGCTCTCCTGTCGCTGGGGGCAGAACTGTCCCCTGCAGCCGAGGCCCTCCCTCCTGTGCCCTGGGGGTTGGTGCGGGGAAAGGGCTGCCCTTCTGAGAGGCCCTGGCGGACAGGGTCTGACTCGCTGTTTGCACCGTCAGGGCTCCGGCGACGTGAAGTACCACCTGGGCATGTATCACCGCAGGATCAACCGCGTGACCGACAGGAACATCACCCTGTCCCTGGTGGCAAACCCGTCCCACCTGGAGGCTGCAGACCCCGTGGTGATGGGCAAGACCAAAGCTGAGCAGTTCTACTGTGGAGACACCGAAGGGAAAAAGGTGAGCCCTGGGGCCGCCCAGTGCTCCAGCCCCGGCCACTGCGGCTCACGGTCCCAGAGTGGGATGCCAGAACTGGCTGGGGCTGGCTGTGCCTCCACCCCATCTGGGGGCAGCCTGTCTTGCAGTTACCGCTCATGAAGAAGGACGTGTTTGTGAGGAGAGGCAGGGGTGAGCCTGAAGGAGGAAGTGGAACCAGCAGCCCTCGAGGGAGGGCCTGTCGTGCTGGGGGAAGGAGCTCGCACAGGGGCCACAGCTGAGTGTTTCCCGTGTTGGCTAGCCAGCCCGCTCATGTGCAGGAATCCTCAGTGGGTTATAGCCGTGGCCATGGGCTGCTTCTTAACCTAAGGTGGAATTGTAGCATTCTTTCCATACAACCGTGGCCTAAAGAAAGAAAAGTCAGGCATCTGTCGTCTTGACTGTGTGCATCCTGGGGAACGTTCAGAGTGGGCCCCGCAGACCAGCTCCGGGACTCTGCTGTTCATCTGGGAAAGGATCACGTGTCCAGAGGTCACAGATCCCACGCAGAACCACCAGAACCTGTGGTTAGCCGGCAGCTGCAGACCGGGACTGACACACGCCATAGCTGTTTATAGCGGGGCGGGGTTTGTCCTGTGTCCCTGGAGAAGCACCAGGACTGAGCAGGTGGGGAAGAGGCTGCTGTCTGCCGGGGTGGGGTGGGCGGGGCAGGTGTGTCTGTGTTACAGGCAAAGCCAAGTAGTTTGCTGGGTGCCGCAGTTGAAAGCGCTCTTAGTCAACCAGCTGCGTCCTGAGGCTTTGAGAGAGGGAGACTGCCCCCGCGGGCCTCGGAGAGGGGCTGAGGGCCCTTGCGACGACACTTGCTGCACATAGTCACCCACCTCGGTGAGGAGCATACCCCATGGCCTCAGCTCAGGGCCAGGACAGTGCCACAGAGAGGCCTTGGCTGCTTGGGGTCACGCAGCCCCCAAGATCACTGATGATGCCGGAGTGTGGTCCTGGAGCAGGGGGCCATTGCCATGGTGTCTGGCCGGCACACACCCTGCGTTTGGGGCTGAGTGGCGCAAGAGATGGCAGAGACCTTAGTGACTTGGGCGTACAAACACGGACAGAAATACGCTGGGGCGGAGCTTGCCTGGAGTGCTGAAGTGTCCTGGGAAGGCAGGAAGGAGAACTAGCGGTGGAGGGTGGTACACGTTACAAGTGGAGCACACGTTGGTCCTTTGGGAGAGGCCAGGACGAGGACCTGCTGAGACTCAGTCCCTGTTTAGGGAATGCCCCTGTGCAATGCGCTCTCTGCTGCCACTTTCCTGGGCCGCCTGGCCCCAGGCCTCACAGGTGCTCAGTGGGCTCAGGGCAGCCTCCGCCCCCTGCCCGCTGTCCTGTTGCTCCGGCATGCCCAGGGAGTGATTCGGCTTTCACACACATCAGTACTCGAGAACGTTCCATGTGGTCTGTAACTCCTGGTGTTTCTGGAAGATTCCATCCTTTCCATAACTGTGGAGGACGTCCCATAACCTGTGTGCTTGTGAAACTGACCTGCTCTGGCTCCTGCTAACGTGGCCTTTGGGACACGCGTCCATGGGAATGTGTCCTTCCTCGTTGCAACCATGGCAGCCCGCGCACAGGGGTACCGTGCTGCTGCCAGAGCTGGTGGTCAGGCCGCCAGACGGCGTCTCCGCAGCCATCGCTGCCGTGCGTCTGATGTCCCGGTGCAGAGCGATGCCCCTCTGTGGCGCTGCAGCGGGAAGCTCTGCGGGGGGCTGGGAAGTCGGCCGCTGGGGAACACCATGTCCGCTGTCCAGCTGTCCTTGTCAGTGCCCCCACGGCTACCAGAGACGGCACACGTGCAGTCCTGTTTCTAAAACTGGACAGCAAATCGCGAGCCTTGCCTTCCTCGCCGTAGGCCGAGAACGGGGTGAGAGGCCGTTGAGCACCGTGTCGGGACACCTTGCTGTGTTGCCATGACGGCTGTTATAGATGAGATCGTGTTCAGACCTGAGGCCTTGGAGCGAAGCAGATGGCCCTCCCCGGGGTGGTGGACCTTGTCCCGTCCGTTCAGGACTTGGAAGGAGACTGAGGTCCCCACGCAGGCACTCTGCCTCCAGATGCCTCTGGACTTGAGCGCAGGCTTTCTCCTCCCTGGCCTCAGTCAGCCATGCCCTGCTGTCCTACTTCCTTTGAATCACCCAGTCGCTGCCCCCAGCCTGACCCCCGTGGTGGTTTCTCAGCAGGGCTCGGGCCAGCGTGCCCCGCAGTAGCAGGCCGCAGCAGATGGGCAGCCTTGGGGCAGTGGAAGCGACGTGTGCACGGCTGGAGGAGATACCGCAGTTGTGGGGAGGTGGTGGCAGGGCAGGAGCACAGTTTACGTGCACATGTGTGTGTTTCCCGCTCTGTGAAAGGGCCCATCCTCCAGGGGGAGGCTGTGGCCGCGGTGGTGCACAAAGTACAGACGGACGGGGCAGCCCGGTGGTGCACGAAGCACAGACGGACAGGCCAGCCTAGGGGAACAGCAAGAGCGTCGGATAACGACGGGCTCTGTCAGCCACACGCGGCCTGTGGGCGGGGAGAGCACACCGGCTCAAAGTGAGGGCTGGGGGGAGCCGGTAGGAAGTGTCACCTCACAGTGCTACCCTGTGCTCCCCACCAAGGAGGAAGCAGAGAGGGAGACCTGTCAGGTGACCAGGGTGCTTGGTTGATGTCACTCACAGTGGCCCTGGCCTGCGGGTCTGGGGCAGACGGGGCCAGTGTTGCCTCCTGTGGGAGGGCATCTGGAATGGTGAGCCACAGTGGCCGTCCGTGTAGCACAGCAGACAGTGGGGGCAAGATGGCAGGTGTGTGGGGTTGGCCACAGGATCGGGGTCCCTGTGCTCTCCTGCCACCTCAGAACAAACCATGGCTCCCCATCCGCTGCCTGCCCTGCGGGTCCGGGCTCAGGATGTGGTGGGTTTGGGTTCTTCGCCGCCTGCCCTTGTGGGCTTGGTGTCAGAACACAGTGCATGCGGCTCTGCTTGGCGTCCACAGGTAATGTCCATCCTCCTGCATGGGGACGCTGCCTTCGCCGGTCAGGGCATTGTGTACGAGACCTTCCACCTGAGTGACCTGCCGTCCTACACGACCCACGGCACCGTGCATGTGGTCGTCAACAACCAGGTAACCCCCGCCCCATCTCCCTGCACAGTGCAACTTGGTTGTGTGAACGTCTGTTGCTTTCCCATTGTGAAAGTGAGTTGGAGTGGGCGTTGAGCCCAGTGGTTAGAACGCTGGTCAGGGCACCCGTTGCCACGTTGAAACATTCAGTGCCCAGCTCCAGCCCCTGACTCCAGCTTCCTGCTGCGCAGATCCTGGGAGGCAGCAGTGATGGTTCAGGTGCCTGGGTACCCGGATCGAGTTCCCAGCCTCAGCCCAGCCCTGACGTTTGGGCATCTGGGAAATGAGCCAGTGGATGCGGGCTTTTTTTCTTTCTGTTTTTCCCTCTCAAATAAATAAAATTCTTTTTAAGTCGTTAATTATTTTCATCCATTTGAGAGGTAGAGTGACGCAATCTTCCACCTACTGGTTCACTCCCCGAATGCCCACAACAGCCAGGGCTAGGCCAGGCCAAAGCTGGGAGCCCTACCTTCCATCCAAGTCTCGGGTGTGGGTGGCAGGACCATGCGAGCCAACACCTGCTGCCTCCCAGCGTGCATTAGCAGGAAGATGGATCGGAAGCGGAGGCGCTGGAACCAGCACTCCAGTGTGGGATACAGACATTCTAAGCTGTGGCTTACCCCATGCGTCACACTGCCTGCCCCATAAAAAATTTAAATATGGAAATGTTTTTTAAAATGTCAATGCCCGGAGCAGACTTGTAGCACAGTAGCCAAGTCACTGCTTAAGTCCTGGCTCCTCCACTTCTGACTACAGCTTCTGGCTGATGCACACGCTGGGAAGGCAGCAGGTGATACCTCAAGTACTTAGGTCCCTGTCACCTGTATGTCGGGCCTGGTTTGAGTTTGAGGTCCTGGCTTTGGCCTGACCCAGCCCTGGCTGTTGCAGGCATTTGGGGAATAAACCAGCAGATGGAAGTTCTCGTCTGCCTACCTTTCAAATAAAATGAAAAAGTAAATGTTTTTAAATGTCAGTGCCTTGAAAACAGAGGCAGGCACAGGAGCCTTTAAGATGGACTGGACTGGCCAGCTCTGCGGCTCACTAGGCTAATTCTCTGCCCATGGAGCCAGCATCCCAGGTTCTAGTCCCCGTTGGGGTGCTGGATTCTGTCCCGGTTGCTCCTCTTCCAGTCCAACTCTGCTGTGGCCCGGGAGTGCAGTGGAGGATGGCCCAAGTGCTTGGGCCCTGCACCCACACGGGGGACCAGGAGGAGGCACCTGGCTCCTGGCTTCGGATCGGTGCAGCACCGGCTGTGGCAGCCATCCGGGGGGTGAACCAACGGAAGGAAGACCTTTCTCTGTCTCTCTCTCTCACTGTCTAACTCTGCCTATCAGGGGGAAAAAAAAAAAAAGATGGACTAGGCTGAGGGAAAGAAGTCAGGGTGGTGCACAGGGCGTGCGTGTGGACTGTGGTTCGGAGAGCGGGCAGCGGTGACGTGTGGTGTGCGGGTGTTCTGTGATAGGAGCTGTTTGCAGCTGAGCTGTGCTCTGGGCAAGGACGTGTCCTAGCTGCTGGGAAATAGGTCTTGTCTGTCAAAACGTAGTTACCAGCAAGCCAAGAAGATGGTGCTGGCTGTTTGTGGACAAGTGGAACAGAGAGAGCGGCCCGTGGAGCTGTCCTCTTTTTCAGGACAGTCAGCTGTGGGCAGGGACCTGTGGGTTCAGGCCCAGAAACAAGAATAACGAACCGTCCAGGTTTGTCGTTGCTGGGGATGGCTGCGTGGAGGAGCAGTGTATTATCATTCTGTGTCTGAAATACTTCATACAGATGAAATTTTAAAGTTAAAAATTAAGAATGTGTAATTTTGTTACACCCGGGGGTAGGAAGTATCATGTAATTAAATGTTAATGTACCCAAGGGGTAGGGAGTTTTATTTTCAAAGGAAAAATGCTCAGTGTTGATAAGGCACAGAAATCGTAGAAATCATAAGCTTCTGACTTTTCAATATGTTTGCGTTTATGTGCATACAAAAAAGATAGTCTGCAGACATCGGCACTGGTCTGTGGAATCACAGAATGCTTGATTCTCTGTGTTGAACACAGATGAATTCTAGAAATCAGAACAGGAAAAGCCTCGGGAGAACGTGGGCACTCCCTCCCTCTGAGTGGCCGAGCGGCAGGGCCAGGGGCCCACCTTGCCCGCCGCCCTCCTGTCACTGGCTGCGCCAGCTGCCCGTGTGCCAGACTGTGTATTCCTTGCAGATTGGCTTCACCACAGACCCGCGGATGGCCCGCTCCTCCCCGTACCCTACCGACGTGGCCCGTGTGGTGAACGCCCCCATCTTCCACGTGAACTCAGACGACCCTGAGGCCGTGATGTATGTGTGCAAGGTGGCAGCCGAGTGGAGGAGCACCTTCCACAAAGATGTGGTCGTTGATCTGGTGAGTGACCCCAGGCAGAGTCCCCCCCCGCCCCCCCCCCCGCCCTGGTGTCCTGTTGGAGGGGCTGGACTCCCTGAGCACCCTGGGACTTCCTAGCTCTGGCCCCCACGTGGGCTCCTCCAGCCAGAGCATCTGAGCCTAGCACAGCCCGGGTGCTGTGGGTGCCAGAGTTTATTCTTGGGCCTGCTTGGAGAGTAAGGAGTGTGTGTTGCTATCACTCTGATGGCAGCCAGGTCAAGAGACAGGACCCTCATTCTAGGGAAGGAGCGCTCCTTCCCGAGGGCTTGCTGCGGTCCCTGACAGCTCCGGCCCTGTTCTGTGCAGGTGTGTTACCGGCGCAATGGCCACAACGAGATGGACGAGCCCATGTTCACGCAGCCCCTCATGTACAAGCAGATCCGCAAGCAGAAGCCAGTGCTGCAGAAGTACGCAGAGCTGCTGGTGGCCCAGGGCGTGGTCAACCAGCCCGAGTATGAGGTGCGTCCTGGCCCAGAGCGGGGAGGCCGCCGTGGGCAACCCAGACAGGGAGCGAGAGCTCCACCCCTACAGCCCCTCAGCCCCCAGGAGGCCACTGAGATGGGGTCTGCGGTGGGGGTGGCGGCCGCTGGCTCCCTCAGCGACACAGCAGTGCAAGGTCTGGCTCCACCCGGGGCCGGGTGTGGTCCCACAGAGGCTGTGCCTGCTCGCTTGCCAGCAGGCAGCCCAGGCAGACACCCCAGAGACGGACGTGTGGGCGCAGACAGAGCTCTGGAGCCCTGCACCCCAGGGCTGCGAGGAGCAGGCACACAGGAAGTAGGAGGTGCAGCGGGGTGTGTGCGGCAGGGCCGCTGTCCCCGTCCAGCGGTGTCATGCCCGACCCTCAGGAGGAGATCTCCAAGTACGACAAGATCTGCGAGGAAGCTTTCGCCAGGTCCAAGGACGAGAAGATCCTGCACATCAAGCACTGGCTCGACTCGCCCTGGCCTGGTGAGCAGAGGGCCCCGCGGAGACCCCTTAGTGCCCGCGAGGTGACCAGGAGGCCCCTCCCAGAGTCCAGCTCCTCCTGCGTGTGCCGCAGTCAGCAGCACCCCGCGCAGGTGTCGTCCCGACACGGTGCTACGGCGCCTCTGCCTGCCCTCCCTCGCAGGCTTCTTCACCCTGGACGGTCAGCCCCGGAGCATGTCCTGCCCCTCCACGGGCCTCACCGAGGACGTCCTCACGCACATTGGGAACGTGGCCAGCTCCGTGCCCGTGGAGAACTTCACCATCCACGGAGGTAAGTGCGTCGGGCTGGCCGGGGGGAACACTGGCCCTCTCTCGTCCTGCAGAGGCCCCGCGGCCCCTCCCACTGCTGCTGTCGGCAGAGCCCTGTGCTCACCGTGCCCTTCCACACCACTGGAAGCCCGGGGCTGCAGGGGCAGAAGGCCCTGGCCCCAGCAGAGTGGAGCAGCCACGCGGGCCAGGCCTGCAGCGCTGTGAGGGCTCTGTCTGCAGGGCTGAGCCGGATCCTGAAGACCCGCGGAGAGCTGGTGAAGAACCGCACCGTGGACTGGGCTCTGGCGGAGTACATGGCTTTCGGCTCGCTCCTGAAGGAGGGCATCCACATCCGGCTGAGCGGCCAGGACGTGGAGCGTGGCACCTTCAGGTAGCGTTGAGGCGCACGGGATTCTGGGGAAACAGCCACGCGGCCCAGGCATTGCGGCTACTCTGCCCTCACCTCGTTTGCTGTGCCCCGCGTGCCGGGCGGTCGATCCCTCGAGCGTGCAGGGTCTCTGGATGTCCGTCCTGGCTGCGTGGGCTGTGGCAGCTGCACTCCAGGCTCACGGGTCCTCGTTCCGCCCCAGCCACCGCCACCATGTGCTCCATGACCAGAATGTGGACAAGAGAACCTGCATCCCCATGAACCACCTCTGGCCCAACCAGGCGCCCTACACCGTGTGCAACAGCTCGCTGTCCGAGTACGGCGTCCTGGGTGAGCCCCACCCACGCCCCCCCCCCCCCCGGCCTGCAGCCCCGCCCCGCCCGCTGGCTGACAGCCAGGATGTGGCTCTCCCCCTCGTCCCTTACAGGCTTTGAGCTGGGCTTCGCCATGGCCAGCCCCAACGCCCTGGTGCTCTGGGAGGCCCAGTTTGGTGACTTCCACAACACGGCTCAGTGCATCATCGACCAGTTCATCTGCCCCGGGCAGGCCAAGTGGGTGCGGCAGAATGGCATCGTGCTGCTGCTGCCCCACGGCATGGAGGGCATGGTGAGCCCAGGTCGGGCACGGTCTTACACCACGTGCTGTGCCGGCGGGGGGTGGGGGGGGGATCGAGATTCATCGCCAGGAGGAAGAACCAGAAACAAGCGAGGTGGTCCAGGAGGGGAGCCGCGAGAGCTCCCAGGCCAACTCGGGGGTCTGTTCCAGGGGCCAGAGCACTCCTCTGCACGCCCAGAGCGGTTCCTGCAGATGTGCAACGATGACCCAGATGTCCTGCCGGTGAGTGAGCGGAGTCCGTCGGTCACCCTGAGCCGTCCTTCCCTGGCCTGGGGCTCAGGTCAGGCTGTGGCACAGCTTCGCCTGCTGGCCACACCCCGCTGCTGCTGAAACCACGGTGTGCCGTGTGGCCACCTCCACACAAGCTCCTGAACCAGGCCCGCGCAGATGTTGGAGGGAGAGAACTTCGGGGCATTCTACTGAGATTCCAAGACCTGAAAAGAACGGGTGGTCCGTTTCTAAGGAGGATTGGGGTTGGCTTTAGGGAGAACCGGTGTCTCCTAAAATAGCATGTTTTGTGCTGGGTGGAAGTTCACAGCAGTGGGAGGGATCCAGGGGGAAGCAGAGGGCAGGGCCCTGGGAGTGGCGCCCCTCGCTCCTAGACGCCCGCGTGAGGGGCTCAGCGCTCCTGCCCAGCCCCTGGCCGCTGCTCCCCACAGGACCTGCAGCAAGCCAACTTCGACATCAGCCAGCTGTACGACTGCAACTGGGTCGTCGTCAACTGCTCCACGCCCGGCAACTTCTTCCACGTTCTGCGGCGCCAGATCCTGCTGCCCTTTCGCAAGCCGGTCAGTGCGGGCCTGGCCTGGCCTGAGGATGACCTGTGACCCAGGGCGCTGACCCTGCAACGCCGGCACGGGGCCAGGCTTTTCCCAGGGCCTCTAGCTTGGGGCTGGCCAGTTGTTGCCTGGAAGGGGTGCATGGACAGGATGGAGTCAGAGCTGGGTCCCTCTTGGCGTTGCTCCCAGGGAAGGGCAGGCTGTGAGGTCCAGCCCAGCAGGGCGAGGGTGGTCATGGGAGCAGCTGGGGTGGGGGGGGTGCTGAGTACTGGAAGACAGAAACCCGCAGGGGCCCAGGGCTTGCAAGGAGCTGCGTGTTGGAGAGTAGGTAGGCGCCGGGTCGGGGTACGAGCAGAAGGAGGGGAGTGTATTCCCAGCAGCCAGCCCGTGAGCCGGCGGGGCAGGGCGGTCCTGGGGTTGGACCTTGTCACGCCCTCTGGCAGGCCGACGGTGTGTTTGCTGTGACTGCCAGAGGCTCGGGCTCTTCCTGGGTGCGGGGTGGGGCCAGGGCCTCAGCAGCTGGGAGCTGGGTGTCTGCCCCCGCTGAGGGAGGCTCCGCCCAGCACTGGGCGTTGTCTGCTGGGACCCAGGGTCCAGCTTGGGTGGCCTTGGCTTCCGACCAGCTTCTGGGACTTGGAGAGCATCGTGGGCCTGTTGTCTTCCAGCTGATCATCTTCACGCCCAAGTCCCTGCTGCGCCACCCTGAGGCCAGGACCAGCTTTGACGAGATGCTTCCAGGTGGGTGGGTGGGGTTGGGGGTTCCCTGCTGCTGCTCTGTGGGGCTCGCAGGACTTCACGTTTGACTTTTCCTGGCCGTGGGCAGAGGCTGCTGGCTCTCGCCTGTGAGTGCCCCCAGGACTGCGTAGAGGCTCTTGAGAGCCAGCGGCTCCTGTGACTCCTCCCCCGCACCCCGGCTCCTGCAAGGAGCGCTGGCTGTGCCGGTGCGGAGTGAGGCCCGGGCCTGAGGCCTCCGGGTGGCTGTGGGGAACAGGTGCTGGCAGCCGTGGCCACTTGAACGTGCCCAGGTGCTCCTGGGGCCAAGGCACTCACCCCCTCCCGGCTGCCAGGCCTCCTCAGGGCCGTGCGCGGACGAGCACGTCTCCGCAGCCCCGCCTTCCGCCCCGTGTTGGTGTGTGGCAGCGGTGGAATCTCCCTGGAGCGTTCGCCAGTTCTGTTTTCGCGCCGAGGAGCTGCCAGGCCCCGCCAGCGGCGCTGCGCCCTGCTGCATCCCCTGCCGCGGCGCGTCCGACACTCACACTCGCGCTTCCCGCTGTGCTGCTGTTAGCAGCCGTCCTGCTGGGCATGAGGCAGTGGCTCCTCGTGGTTTTGATTCTCATCTCTGAAAACCTGACGCTGGGCGTGTTTTGTGCGCTTAGTGGCCTTTAAAGAAACATCTCCACCAGCTTTGCCCACTTTTTTTTTTTTTCTTCCCCTGACAGGCAGAGTTAGAGAGAGAGACAGAGAGAAAGGTCTTCCTTCCGTTGGTTCACCCCCAAAATGGCTGCTATGGCCGGCACTGTACCAATCCGAAGCCAGGAGCCAGGTGCTTCCTCCTGGTCTCCCGTGTGGGTGCAGGGCCCAAGCACTTGGGCCGTCCTCCACTGCACTCCCGGGCCACAGCAGAGAGCTGGACTGGAAGAGGGGCAACCGGGACAGAATCTGGTGCCCCAACCGAGACTAGAACCCGGTGTGCTGGCGCCACAGGCAGAGGATTAGCCTAGTGAGCCGCGGCGCCGGCCAGCTCTGCCCACTTTTAAATCCAAGTGTCTTTGTGTTGCTGAGCCTCAGCTCTCTGTCCCCGCTGTTGTTCCTCACCAGAGACGTGCTTCCCCTTCCATGAGTTGCCTTTTCATTCTGTTGACAATGTCTGGTTTACAGAACTTCTAGATTTTCATGAAATGCAAACGGTCTGTTTTCTGCTGTTGCCTCTGTCTTTGGGTCATATCCAAGAAATCATTGCCAAGTCCATTTTTATAATATTTTCCCATCTTTCTCCCAAGAGATTTGGAGGCCTAACTCTTAGATTTAGCTCTTTGATCCTCTTTAAGTGAATTTTCCATACATGCGTTCACGTAAAGTAGGCTTCGTTCTGTCGCACATGGGTCCCAGTTTTCCTAGTACTGTTTGTCAGAACGACCGTCGCCTCCCCCAGCAGACGGAATCCTGCTGGTCGATCATTTGAGTGTGTATGCAGGGGTTACCTGTGGGCCCCGTCTGTACTGGTACCACACACACTGCCAGGCACAGTCCCAGTCTCGCTCGTGGGTGGCAGGGACCCAACTGCTTGAGCCGTTGTTTGCCGCCTCCAAGGAACTGCGTGGGCAGGAAGCTGGAAGCACTCTGAGGGGGGCCTGGTGTCTAAATCAGCGTCTGAATCACCAGGCCAAATGCCCGCCCCATGTCCGTGACCTCAGAGCAGAGCTGTCAGCCTCCAACCACGGAGTCTGACGGTTCCTGTGGGCTTCACAGATGGCTTTTCTCATGTTGACATTTGAAAATTTTCATCATGGCACTGAGTTTGAACGTGATTTCCTCACTCAACCTTGTTCCCCTCGGCACCTGGTCTGTCCTCTGACCTCTGTTGAAAGTTCTTAGATTTGTAGACGCGTGAGGCATAGGCATGCAGGAGACGGGTGTCCTGATGGCTCGGTTGTCCCTGAATGCCCGTATCAGGCTCTGTGGGAGAATCAGCCCTCGCACAGTGCAACACGCTTCTCCAGTGCTCGGTGTGCAGCAGAGGCTGCGCGGGGTGGCCTCCGTCCCACGCGATCCTCCGCTCACAGCCAGCACCGCTGGGTGGGCCTGGAGAAGGAACCAGCCCGGCCCCGGGGATTCTCTTGTAGGGACCCACTTCCAGAGGGTGATCCCAGAGAGCGGCCCTGCAGCTCAGGCCCCCGCCGGTGTCAAGAGGCTCCTCTTCTGCACGGGCAAAGTGTACTACGACCTCACCCGCGAGCGCGCCGCCAGGGGCATGGCCGAGCAGGTGGCCATCACGAGGATTGAGCAGGTGAGAGGCGGCGTCTGTTCCGCGAGACAGCCCCTCAGGGCAGCCCTGCCTGCGCCCCGCGGCGCCCTCTTCACCACCACCCCCCACCCTCCCCCCGCAGCTGTCACCGTTCCCCTTCGACCTTCTGCTGAAGGAGGTGCAGAAGTACCCGAACGCCGAGCTGGCCTGGTGCCAGGAGGAGCACAAGAACCAGGGCTACTACGACTACGTGAAGCCCAGGCTCCGCACCACCATCGACCGCGCCAAGCCCGTCTGGTGAGGCCCCGCCCCGCCGGGGGACGGGACGGGACGGGATGGGCCGGGCCTGCCGCGGCCGTCGCCCTCACGGCCCGTCTGTCTGTCCCAGGTACGCGGGCCGGGACCCAGCGGCCGCTCCGGCCACCGGCAACAAGAAGACACACCTGACGGAGCTGCAGCGCCTGCTGGACACCGCCTTCGACCTGGACGCCTTCAAGAACTTCTCGTAAACGCTCCGGGGTGCGCCGCTGCCCCCCACGCCCACGCTGCCCTCGCTTCTCAACTGAAGGATAGTGCCTGAGCGCCACCCACTCTGCCCCCGCTGTGCCCTCGTAGGAATTAGGCCCCTGTCCCTGAGTGCCGGCTGCCCGCCGGCTCCCGGGCTGTCCTGACTTCTGTCAGGCCGAGCAGCTTTCTGGGAGGAGGGGGCAGCAGGGGAGAAGGATGCCCCTCCCCCCAGCTCCGGCTACACCCCTCCCCCAGCACCCCCCCTAGGGCAGAGGAGAGCCCCTGTGTGGCCTCCCGGAGCGGCTGTCCTTGTCACCCAGCGAGGCGTGGGCTCCTGCACTGGGACAGGGGCTTTGTCTTCCCACAGCCAAGCCTCAGGATCCAGAGGGCCTGGGCTGGCAGGGCTTCCGGGAGGCCCCGGCTGTGGGCTGAACCGTGGATGCTCGCGGTGGCTCGAGCCCCACAGTGTCCATCCCAGGCTTCCCCGTGAGTCCAGGGCCCCACATGGGGCCGTGTCCCACTCACCCTCTTGGGGCCGGGCAGCACCCTTGGTGCCCACAACCGGGCGCTGGCCGCTCCGTCTCCGTCCCAGTCCCTTGGACCTGCTCCCCGCCACACCCCGCTCCCTGCTGTTTCCCATGATCCCAGTGGAGACTAAATGAGTCCTTTCTTTGCTGTGCCAAAGCAGGTCAGGAGCAGGAGGTGGTAAGGGCTGCAGCCGAGGGCCAGCCGCCTTCGTCCTCACTTCGACCTTCACAGGGACAGATCTGATTATTTATTTTGGTTAAAAAAAAAAGAACAAAAACAACTTTGCATTGCATCGGCTTGACCCATAAACTAAGTTATCCACAGGCTGTCTGAGTCATTCTGTGCACTCCGCCTTCTTCCCGGGGGCCAGTCCCCTTCTCGGACATAGCAGCCGAGGCCACCAGCGGCCCCCTTGCACGCTGGGGCAGTGTGGCCCAGGCCCAGGCCCCGACGTGCACCGGTGCTGTCCTCGTGAGCGTGGTGCGGCGGCCTGGCTGCAGGGCTGGCTTTAGGTGCAGCCTGGTTCTGACCATTCCAGGCCCTGTGTCCTCTCTGGTCAGGAGTCCACGATCTAACCCATAATGACCCAGGCGTCGGCCTCCTGGTGGGGCAGGTGCCTGGGAGTGTGTCCCCAGGCCCGGCCCCCCTTGCCCAGCAGTGCCCACCTGAGCCATGCCCGCAATGTCTGGATCTCGGGTTTACCCCGCTGCTGCCTCCTGACCCCGGCCGATGCTGGCAGGAGCAGGTGCTCGGGACACAGGTCCCCGCGCCCGATGCAGTGGGGACCCAAGCCGCACGCGAGCTCCCTGGGGCTGGAGAGTCCTGTGTGCAGGAGGAAGCTCTCGGAACTTCCCCCACTGGAGCCTCCATCTGGGCAGGGGTCTGGCCTTTCCTGCTTCACCCCAGCCCCAGAGTCCTGTTGGAGGGTGGCCACGACAGGACATTCTGGCACGGGGCAGCCGGCAGCACTTCCGGGTCAGGTGAGGTCACCGGCCCTGAGCCCTTCCTGTGGGGCCGTGACCTCGGGGTGGGCCTGGCTCCTCAGAAAGCTGTTGAAATGAGTGGGGGCTCTAGCCGTGCTCCAAGCATGGATCTGGCCCTGAGCCCCCTACAAGACTGACGTGCACTGGCCAGGGGCCTGCTGCTGCAATGCCCTGGACTGGCCTGCTGGTGGCGCCCTCCTCACCTGCGTTTGCTGCAGGCCAGGGCCCACGTGTGTGCGGTGTGGGGTCAGGGAAGGGAACGTGCACAGTGGGCAGGGATGGCCCAGGGTAGCGGCATCGGTGAGGGAGGCGTGGGTCTGGTTCTCTGTACAAGCCTGTGCTCAGGGCTTGAGCGCACGGACCCCAGGAGCTCCTGGCTGCACCTCTCCAGGTGGGCCAGGGGACGTCCTGTGCCACTCTGGATGCGAAAGGGCCCACGCGCCCCAGCCGCACGCGAGACTGGATGGTGAGATGGACTCTGCCTGTGGCCACACAGCTGCTGACAGCTGTGAGCCCAGGTGGGCAACGGCTCCCTGGGCTGCCTGGGAGGTGCTGCCCCTGTTGGCTGCTTAGTCCAGGTGGCTGTGGCGGTGAGCTCGGGTCAGGATGGGATTCAGCTAGGACTGGCGTGAGGAGAGACCGTAGAAAGTGCCCCTGTTTTGGCGTCTGTGAGCCCGCAGGCGGAGACCCCCGCTTGTCCAGCTGCAGTGTCCACACTGCACAGCTAGCCAGCCTGATCCTCCCCTAACCAGACTGGGTCAGGGCCTGATGCCAGCTCTGCCTCCCCCAGCCCACTCCAGGATTTGGGTTCAGTACTCACTGGTGACAGAGTTCACCGGGGGCATCCAGGGGTAGTGACACCTCAGGGAAGCCAGGTAAGGGTTGCCCGTGGGCACGGCAGGCAGGAGGCCACGCCCACACAGTGAGCAGGCCTGGCTGAGAAGGGAGGCCAGGTGTCAGGGCGATTGGGTAAGGGGAGGAGTTTTCCTTTGGATCCTGGAAACAGCTCACAGGAATCCTGCTTGGCTGAGGAATGGAGAGGAGGAGCATAGGGTGGCCCCCAGAGACCTAGGCCCGGCGCTGCCCGGGCAGGTGTGCAGGCCCCAGCTGGAGGTGGCCTGGCCCAGAGCCCTTTGATTGCAACAGCAGTGAGAGGCCTCCAAAAGGCATCTGTGGGGGTGGGGCTAACGTACAGGCCCTGAGGCTGGAGTGACTGGCAGGGTCCAGGGAAAATAAGTAAATCCTTTAAAAAAATGACAGCCGGCGCCGCAGCTCACTAGGCTAATCCTCTACCTGCGGCGCTGGCACACCGGGTTCTAGTCCCGGTCGGGGCGCCGGATTCTGTCCTGGTTGCCCCTCTTCCAGGCCAGCTCTCTGCTGTGGCCTGGGAGTGCAGTGGAGGATGGCCCAAGTACTTGGGGCCTGCACCTGCATGGGAGACCAGGAGGAAGCACCTGGCTTCTGGCTTCGGATCAGCACAGTGCCGGCTGTAGCGGCCATTTGGGGAGTGAACCAATGGAAGGAAGACCTTTCTCTCTGTCTCTCACTGTCTAACTGCTTGTCAAAAAAAAAAAAAAATGACATTTCTGGGGATACTCACATACCAGAACCTGTGTCTGTTGATAAAATCATGATTTTTTTTTTCATTAGCCTGTTACACTGACTCTCAAACTTGGATTCCTCAAACAAACCCCAGTTTCTCATAGTATATAATTCTGCATTGTAGAGTTCTTTCCTTATATGTATTCCTGCTTTTGACTGGCACTGCCATCAGTCATGGCTGTCTACCGCGTGCGGGGTGACGGCCCTCGTCCCTGTGCGTTGGGAACACGCCAGTGCTCTCGCCCAGCTGCTTGGAGACCTACAGTTGCTGTCAGTTTGGCTGGGCTGCCCTCCTGCGGCTGGGAACATCATTCTGTCCTGTGGTACCCTGGGCCCCATCAACCCAGCTCCCCTCTCCCCGTCCCGCTCTTCCAGGCCCTGGTAACCATGGTCCCCTCTCTGCTCCTAGGAGACCAAGGCTGTGGCGTCCTCGTGTGTGTGTGAGCATGCGGCATATTGTGCCTGATTTCATGTAACACGGTGTGCTCCACTTCCATTCGTGTGGCTGCCGGTGACAGACTTGCATTCCTTTTCATGACACTGTGGCTGTAGACACATTTATCCTCTCATCTGTTGCTGGACACAGGTTGATGCCGTGTCGCGCCCACTGTGCATCCAGCTGTAACGAATCCGAGTACCGTTAGAGCGCGAGTCTTTTGGCGGTGTACCCAGTCCTGGAACTGCTGCGCCAGATGGTAGATCTAGTTCTAGTTTTTTGAGGAAACCCCACACTGTTCTCCGTAATGGTCATATGAATCTACAGTCCCAAAATTTTGTGTAAGGGTTCTCCCTTCTCTGTATCCTTGCCAGCATGTGTTATACTACTCCTTTTTATTTATTTATTTATTTATTTATTTATTTATTTATTTATTTATTTATTTATTTGAAAGGCAGAGTGACAGGACAAGCTTCCACTAGCTAGCTCACTCCCCAGATGGCTGCAACCGCCAAGACTGGCCAGGCTGAACCAGGAGCCAGGAGCTCCGTCCAGGTCTCCGAGGTGGGTGGCAGGGACCCAAGTACTTGAGCCACCACCTGCTGCCTCCCAGAAATCCGGGACTCAAATCCAGGCAGTCTGACAGGGATGTGGGCGTCGGCGGCCCTGCACCAAACAGCTTGGAAGAGCTTAATACTGGATCTGGTGGTGCTCCAGGTACTACACATGCAGAGCTTACCACAGTCTGCTGATACTTCATTTTACCAAGTGATGTGTAGGAACCTTGGCTCCCTTTGCATCCTGTTACCCTGCTCCATTTTGTGGGGGTCGTCCCAGAGCGTGGGAAAGTCCCAAAGCAGATGTGGGCTCCCCAGCTCCGCCCAAATATACAAATCAACTGCCCAGGGGCCGGCGCTGTGGCGTAGTGGTTAAAGCCGCCGCCTGCAGTGCCTGCATCCCTGTTCGATCATGGGAGAAGAGCACCCTAACTGCCAAGCTACGGCAGTCTCCATTGCTTTCTGCAACACACTTACTGGACAGTTTCCATAAATTTTTCTAGATACATTTAGAGCCAGGTCAGATGTGGTGTAACTTTTCTTCAGCCACCAAACATCCTGTGAAGGACTGGAGGGAGAGAGAGGGCTGTTGCATTTAGCTGCACGTTTTGCTTTCTGTGTTACTGTGTCCCTGGTGCTGTAGGAGACCTGTTATCATCATTGCCCTCCTAGAATGACCCGGGGCCGCCCCCAGATTAGCAGCTTCCGGAGGACTGTCAACAGCCAGGACAGTGCGAGGGAGACTCCCTCCAGGCTTCTGTGGGAAGTGCGTCCTCTGCCAGGCTGTGCGGTGGCCGCTGAGAGGAGCTCCAGTGACCCAGTGGGGTCAGACACCAGGACCCCGGCTCTTCCGGAAACTCCGCCCCTGCAGAATAAGAAGAAAAACTCAGTTGCGAGCAGGATCAGATGGAGTTCCAGCCATGAGTACAGGCATACACACCGCCTTCCTTAAAAATAAATAAATAAATAAATAGTTTATTTACTTGCTTGAAAGGCAAAGTGACAGATTTTTTTTCCCCACCCCAAATGGCCACAACAGCCAGGGCTGGGCCAGGCTGAAGCCAGGAGCCCGGAACTCCATCCGTGTCTCCCACGTGGGTGCAGGGGCCAAGCACTTGGGCCACCCTCCACTGCCTTCCCAGGCGCGTTAGCAAGGAGCTGGTTTGAAAGCTGCAAGAACTGGCTCAACCTGCTGCCCCGCCACGCTGGCCCCTTTGCCCTACTTGCTAATGGGTGCCACCCTGCAGTCACTCATCTAATAAGGGAACTACAGCCCTCTTGCCCGTAGCTGGCTGTTTTGAAACTCTCTGGAGAATAAAAATAACCTCCACTTGTGATATTCCACGAGGGAGCGCTCCCTGAAGACCCTTGGCAGAGCGTGGCGTAAGGACAAGCCCTGCCTTTGTCCAGGATACCTTCCCGGCCCTTCTGTCAACTGTCTCTGCACCTGCGCCGTTTCTCTGCATATAAGTGTTCAGACGCAGGCGCTGTGCCTCCGAGGGGCAGGTTTTCCACCTTGTTGGCCAGGCGTCCTTTGGAGGTATGAAGGTAGGGTTTCCTGTCCGGGCTGCGGGCCAGGTAAGGCCAGGAAGCCACGTGTCTGGCCCCGCCACGGCTACCACACGCAGACTCAGCTCAGCACGCGCACAGCAGGCTGCTGTTTAGCCTGAGGATTTCGCCCGGCCCACGAATGATGCTCTAAACGTGCAGATGGCCCCGGCCAGAGAGAAGTTCCCCAGCCCTGAATGGAAGGGATAGTCTGCAGGCTGATGTCCCAAAGCGGGGAGGCAGACTACTGCAAACTGAAAAATGAAGAACCTTGGTGCCGGTGCAGCGGAAAAGCCGCTGCCTGCAGTGCTGGCATTCCACACGAGCGCTGGTTCGAGTCCTGGCTGCTCCACTTCGGATCCAGCTCCCGCTAACGTGCCTGGGAAAGCAGTGGACGATGGCCCAGGTTCTTGGGCTTCTGCACCCAAGTGGGAGACCCGGATGGAGCTCCTGGATCCTGGCTTTGGCCTGGCCCAGCCTGGGCTGCTGCAGGCATTTGGGGAGTGAACCAGTAGATGGAAGATTCTCTCTCTCTCTCTCTCTCTTTCAAATGAATAAAAACAAGCAATTTATTTTGAGAAAGGCTTCTTTAGCTCAGAGTTGGAGGTTCAAGTCCAAGATCAGGCAGGAGAGGAAGCAGAGGAAACGTTCAGCCAACCCTGGGGTGAGAGCTGCCTTCTGAGGGCCTGACCCCAGTGACCCAAGGACCTCCCACCAGGCCCAGCCCCCAAATGCCATGATTGTATTAACTTCCGCTGTCTTAATTCCAGTAACCTACGACTACGCGTTCCGAGTCCTGTGTGAGACTGGGAGTGGAACCCCACGGAAACACGGGCTGCTCCCTGGCGCCCCGAGGCCCGTGTCCTTCTCCCACACAGCACGTGGTCATTCCTCCCCCATAGTTCCAAAGTCTTAACTCAGTCCAACAGGAGTGCACAAGTCCAAAGTCAACACTCAAGGCAAACTCCTGAGGCCATGAGCCTGTGACAATGCAAGTTAGAATGCAGGGACACTCAGGGTGTCCAGTCCCAAACCAGAAAGGGTTGAATGGATAATTCCAGAGGACTCTTTGTACCAAAGCAAGGCCAGCAGGGCAAACAGTATCTCTTAAAATCTGTATTTACATCTATTTTTTTTTTTTGACAGGCAGAGTGGACAGTGTGAGAGAGAGACAGAGAGAAAGGTCTTCCATTGCCGTTGGTTCACCCTCCAATGGCCGCCGCGGCCGGCACACCGCGCTGATTCGAAGCCAGGAGCCAGGTGCTTCTCCTGGTCTCCCATGGGGTGCAGGGCCCAAGCACTTGGGCCATCCTCCACTGCCTTCCCGGGCCACAGCAGAGAGCTGGCCTGGAAGAGGGGCAACTGGGACAGAATCCGGCGCCCCGACCGGGACTAGAACCCCGTGTGCTGGCGCCGCAAGGCGGAGGATTAGCCTAGTGAGCTGCGGCACCGGCCTATATCTATCTATATATGTATTTCTAACTACATATGATATATATTTTAAGATTTATTTATTGGGGGGGCAGGCACTGTGGTACAGTAGGTTAATTCTGTGCCTACAGTGCCGGCATCCCATATGGGCACCAGTTCAAGTCCCAGCTGCTCCACTTCCGATCCAGCTCCCTGCTGTGGCCTGGGAAAGCAGTAGAAGATGGCCCAAGTGCTTGGGCCTCTGCACCTGCATGGGAGACCAGGGGAAGCTCCTGGCTTCAGATTGGCGCAGCTCTGGCTGTTGCAGTCATTTGGGGAGTGAACCAGCGGATGGAAGATATTCTCTCTCTCTCTTTTAAATAAATAGGATAAATCTTTTTAAAAAATTTCAAATGAATTAGGGCTTGCGTAGTCGGGCAGAGTCCCAGTTAAAGGGCGAGAACGAGCTCCGAGGATGACCCGAGCGGAGGGTGGGCGCCCTGGGTGCAGCTGGGCTGAGCCAGCAAAGGTGGGACAAACGGCGGCCGGCCGCTTCGAGCTGTGCCCGCGGCAGGGACCCCTTCTCTGTGACCAACTCACACATGAGCCTGCGGCGGAGCTGGCGAATGTCGCGTCCCAGCTGCGGTCGCCGTGGAATCCGAAGTGGAGCAGCCCGGGCGTGAACTGCTCCCATCCGGGATGCTGGCGCTGCGGGTGGCGGGCAGCTCAACCCACTGCGCCACAATGCCGGCCCCGAGTCTAATTTTCAGTAAGAGAGATGTCAGAGCAGACTTCCCCGGAAATAAATCTTTGCAATATTAGTTTTTTTAAAGATTTATTTATTTATTTGAAAGTCAGTTACACAGAGAGAGGAGAGGCGGGGAGAGAGAGAGAGAGAGAGAGGTCTTCCATCTGCTGGTTCACTCCCCAGTTGGCTGCAATGGCCAGAGCTGTGCCAATCCAAAGCCAGGAGCCAGGAGCTTCTTCCGGGTCTCCCACGTGGGCACAGGGGCCCGAGGACTTGGGCCATCTTCTACTGCTTTCCCAGGCCATAACAGAGAGCTGGATTGGAAGTGGAGCAGCCGGGACTCGAACTGGTGCCCATATGGGAGGCAGCGGCTCTACCCGCTATGCCACAGCACCAGCCCCTGCAATATTATTTTATGATGAGTACGGATGCTGTTACGAACAGGGGCCTGTGTATTGTGTATCTGGATCGTGTGACAGAAGAGGGATGCAAAAGTCCTGCTGATGCCGGTGTGCACAGGGTGCTCTGCAAAGAGAGACATCTGGGCGAAGCTCCCCAAGGGCCCTCTCACACAGCGGTCAGTGTGTCTGCCCGTCCACACAGCGGTCAGCGTCTCTGCCCCGTCCACACAGCGGTCGGAGCGTGTCTGCCCCGTCCACACAGCGGTCAGCGTCTCTGCCCCGTCCACACAGCGGTCAGCGTGTCTGCCCTGTCCACAAAGCGGTCAGTCTCTGCCTTGTCTACACAGCGGTCAGTCTCTGCCTTGTCTACACGGTGGTTGGAGCGTGTCGCTGCCTTGTCCACATGGCGGCTGGAGCGTCTCTGCCCCGTCCACACAGCAGTCAGAGTCTCTACTGTCCACACAGCGGTCAGCGTCTGCCCTGTCCACACAGCAGTCAGCATCTCTGCCCCGTCCACACAGCGGTCAGCGTCTCTGCCCTGTCCACACAGCAGCTGGAGCGTCTCTGCCCCATCCACACAGCGGTCAGAGTCTCTGCCCTGTCCACACGGCAGTTGGAGCGTGTCTCTGCCCTGTCCACATGGCGGTCAGAGTCTCTGCCCTGTCCACACGGCGGTCAGAGCGTGTCGCTGCCCCGTCCACACAGCGGTTAGTGTCTGCCCTGTCCACACAGCGGTCAGCGTCTCTGCCCCGTCCACACGGAGGTCAGCGCCTGCCCCGTCCACACAGCGGTCAGCGTCTGCCCTGTCCACACAGCAGTCAGGATCTCTGCCCCGTCCACACGGCGGTCGGTGTCTCTGCCCCGTTCCACATGACGGTCAGCATCTGCCCTGTCCACACAGCGGTCAGTGACTCTGCCCCGTCCACACAGCGGTCAGCGTCCGCCCTGTCCACAGCTGGGGTACCGTTGTCCTGGTGAAGCAGCTGCGGCAGGTTTTGTTTCTCTTGTCAAGGTCGGTTTTGCAAGTTGAGAACAGGTGGACGCGGGTCCGTGCAACACGGGGCCCTGGGCAGCGCCACACTCGGGAGGGGCTCCATGCAGAGCCCGGGGGCTGGGGAGGCAGACCGCTCAGATCTCGGGTTCTCTTTCTGGTGTCCATGTTGTTTTATTTTTTAAGGATTTGTTTGCTTACCTATCTGAAAGGCAGAGTGATGGAGAGATCTTCCAGTCACTGGTTCCTTCCCCAAACACCGACAACATCCGGGCGTGGGCCAGGCACAGCCAGGAGCCAGGACGCTGGTGTCTCTGTGCCTGTGCAGACGGCAGTGGCAGCTGCTCCGAGAACACGCACCTGTCAGTGTTGCAGGGGCCGGTGCACCTGTCGGCCGGCGGCAGACTTGGGGCAGAGACGGCGAGTAGCCGAGTGAGGGTTCCTCTTTTACCGGTTTCAGAAGGCAGATTTCCCCCAGCAGATCGAGAGCACTTGCCTAACAATGTATATAGGAAAAAGGAGACCACTAGGGAGAGGGACCGGGTGCACGGCGGCCTCCGGGGGCGCCGCAGCAGGTGGGGTCCAGAGCCGCTCGGACGCCTGCAGCCCCGCTGTGGCCACTTCGTGAAACTGCCTACGACCCTCTCCCCTCAGAACACGCAGCCTCTCCCAAGCAGGGTCCCCGCCCCCCGTCCTGGGTTTTCCCCTTAGGACCAGCTCCCCCCAAACCTAACACTCCCTTCCCCGGCTCGCTGGGTTTTCCTTCCAAACACTTCCCCCTGGCCACAGTGCCGCCTGTTTCGTCATTTCCTGTTCCTCCCTTCCCCCAGGTCTGTTCTGGGGCAGGGGGCCCCTCCTCCCGGGCTGTGGGTTCAGACCCGGGCCCCCAGCATGTGTCCAACGAACCAAGATTCCCTAAGGGTGCTGCTGCAGCCGTGAGGTAAGGAGAAAGCCGAGGGCCTCCTTCTGCCAATGGAGAGGTCACGGAGCCGTCCAGTGCGACATAGCCCTATTCCGCTATGAAAGGAGGGAGACGCAGACACCGGCCCCCCTATGGACGGGCCTGGGGCACCTGCCCAGTGACGTCAGCAGACAGACTGCACGCTTCCACCTCCACGACGCAGGGCTTTCAACATGTCTTTCTTTCTCTGAAAGGCAGAGTGACAGAGACGGAGACGAGAGAGGGAGATCTTGCATCTGCTGGCTCCCCAAATGGCCACAAAGGGCTGGGCCAAGGCCGGGAACACCATCCAGGTCTCCCACACGGGGGTCAGGGGCCCAAGGACTTGGCCATCATCTGCCTTTCTCCCAGGCCCACTAGCAGGGAGCTGGGTGGGAGGCGGAGCAGCTGGGACTCAAACCCACGTTCCCGTAAGGGATGCTGGACGCCCACGCAGCAGCCTAACCCACCGAGCCCCCACGGCCACTCCAAGTCGGGGCTTAACAGAAAGTGGCTGGCATTGTGGAGCCGTGCCTTATAGGAGCCGGTTCGAGTCCCGGCTGCTCCACTTCCGATCCAGCTCTCTGCTGTGGCCTGGGAAGGCAGTAGAAGATGGCCCAAGGCCTTGGCCCCCGACCCCTGTGTGGGAGACCCAGAGGAAGCTCCTGGCTCCCGGCCCGGATGGGCGCAGCTCCGGCTGTTGTGGCCAATTGAGGAGTGAACCAGGGATAGAAGACCTCTCTCTCTCTCTCTCTCTCTCTGTCTCTCCCTCTCTGCCTCTCAAATAAACTTTAAAGCAACGTAGAACGCGGAGGGCAGCCCGGAGACGGGGTGCGGCTGACCTCGCTGAGCCCCTCCCCACACGCGCAACTCTGTGGGGGGACAGCGGCGCGACAGCCCCGGCCCCGAGAGCACTTCCGGGTGTTAGGAAGGAGGCTCCGGGCAGACCTGAGCCCGCTCGGGGCGCTCTGGGCTTCTGTCCCGACGAGGCCGGTACCCAGCCCTGGCCTCCCCGCGGCTGGGACCACCCCTCCCTCAGCCTCCCGCTCGGACCCCGCCGCCTCCGCCCGGCTCCACCCCGCAGCCTGGCCCCGCCTCCGCCCGGCTCCACCCCGCAGCCTGGCCCCGCCTCCGCCGGCTCCACCCCGCAGCCTGGCCCCGCCTCCTCTCCCAGCCAACCCGGGAGGCCTGGCTCCGCCTACCCCTCCCAGCCACACCCGCAAAGGCCTGGCCCCGCCTTCCCTCCCAGCCACACCCGCGAAGCCTGGCCCCGCCCCCGGTCCCCGAATCGCGTTCCGGCCCCGCCTCCTCCACTCGGCACGGCCTCGGCGTCCTGGCCCCGCCTCCCTCCGCCTGGCCCCGCCCCAGCGTCCAGGCCCCGCCTCCGCCGTTCGGCCCCGCCCCGCCCCCGGCGGACAGCGAGCAGGAAGCGCGCGGTGGCTCCCTGACGCCGCTCTCGGACAGGTGTGGAGGGGCAGGGGGCGCAGTTCGCGGTCGGGCCGCCTTTCTCGCCGGTCTGGCCTCCGTCAGCCCCGCCTCACGCGCAACCCTGGGCCGTACAGGCCTGAGGTTGCCCCCGCCCGAGCGGTGGCTCGGAGTTCGGCTGCTTTTGCCTGGGAGGCGGGGCTGGCCGCACGACGTCATGCATATGCATGAGCGGCGCGGCGGCGGCTCCATTGTGCCCTCGGAGCGGGCGGCGGCGCGATGGCGCGGGCGACTGTGTCCCCGGGGCGGCGGGCGGCGCGGAGGGCGGGCTGAGCGCATGGAGCGGCGCGGTCCGGGGGCTGCCGCGGCTAGGGGCCGGGCCAGGCCGGGCGCAGGTGAGCAGGGCCCCGGGTGGTGGCTGGCGACGCCGCCCGCGGGCAGGTGCGGGCGGCGGAGGCGGGCAGGTGCCGCAGGTGCCGCAGGTGCGGGCCGGCAGGTGCGGCCAGTCTCCCGGGGCGCCGCCGGCCCGCTGCTGCGCCCGCGGCAGGGCTGGGTGCCGGGGCTCTGTCGGCACCTGCCACGCGAGCGTCGGTGGTCTCGGCCCCGTGGGTGTCGGGTCGTCCTACCCCTTCGTGGGCCTTTGTTGGGGGCTGGCCCAGGGATGTACGTGGTCCTCGGGAACCCCTGGAGCGTCGGACGCTGACGGGCCCTAGCCCCAACCTGACATTCTCAGCTCTGGGCCCCCGCGGTCTCACCCCCCCCCCCCCGCTCGCACCTGGTGCCCCCCGCAGGGTGATACGGGCCCGAGGAGGAGCAGCGCGCTCCTGGGCCGAATGACGCTCACCTGTCAGTCTCCAGCTGTGGTTTGGTGGGGACACCCCTTCCACATAACACGCTGAGCTCAGGCTGAGGGTCTCTGCTCTCCCTGGGCTCTGCCCCCTCTCTCAGGTATCCTGTCCTCCTCCACTGCCTGCGTACCCTGCACCTGCCCTGTCCCCTACCCTGGGCTCTGCCCCCTCTCCCAGGTATCCTGTCCTCATCCATCTTGGGTACCCCTGCACCTGCCCTGGCCCCTACCCTGGGCTCTGCCCCCTCTCCCAGGTATCCTGTCCTCCTCCGCTGCCTGCGTACCCCGCACCTGCCCCGGCCCCTACCCTGACCTCCTCCGCTGCCTGCGTACCCCGCACCTGCCCCGGCCCCTACCCTGACCTCCTCCGCTGCCTGCGTACCCTGCACCTGCCCTGTCCCCTACCCTGACCTCCTCCGCTGCCTGCGTACCCTGCACCTGCCCCGGCCCCTACCCTGACCTCCTCCGCTGCCTGCGTACCCTGCACCTGCCCCGGCCCCTACCCTGACCTCCTCCGCTGCCTGCGTACCCTGCACCTGCCCCGGCCCCTACCCTGACCTCCTCCGCTGCCTGCGTACCCTGCACCTGCCCTGTCCCCTACCCTGACCTCCTCCGCTGCCTGCGTACCCTGCACCTGCCCTGTCCCCTACCCTGTCCTCCTCCACTGCCTGCGTACCCTGCACCTGCCCCGGCCCCTACCCTGACCTCCTCCACTGCCTGCGTACCCTGCACCTGCCCTGTCCCCTACCCTGACCTCCTCCGCTGCCTGCGTACCCTGCACCTGCCCCGGCCCCTACCCTGACCTCCTCCGCTGCCTGCGTACCCTGCACCTGCCCCGGCCCCTACCCTGACCTCCTCCGCTGCCTGCGTACCCTGCACCTGCCCCGGCCCCTACCCTGACCTCCTCTGCTGCCTGCGTACCCCGCACCTGCCCCGGCCCCTACCCTGGGCTCTGCCCCCCTCTCCCAGGTATCCTGTCCTCATCCATCTTGGGTACCCCTGCACCTGCCCTGTCCCCTACCCTGGGCTCTGCCCCCTCTCCCAGGTATCCTGTCCTCATCCATCTTGGGTACCCCTGCACCTGCCCCAGCCCCTACCCTGGGCTCTGCCCCCCTCTCCCAGGTATCCTGTCCTCCTCCGCTGCCTGCGTACCCTGCACCTGCCCCGGCCCCTACCCTGGGCTCTGCCCCCTCTCCCAGGGGTGCCCCCTTCCTGGCAGTTACAAGTCGTTTTGTTGTTGCACTCAGAACACGTGACCTGGTCCAAGCCTGTGGGGGCAGATGGGGTGGACACAGGTGCGCCACCAGGTCCCGGCGGGCTGGAGCAGGGTGTGCTCGAAGTTAGAGAAGTGAGGAGTCCTCCTCAGAGGGTGCTGCCTGCAGGCCCTTGTCTTGCCCAGGGGCTGCTGCAGGCAGGAAGTGTGAGCGGAGGCAGAGGCGGGAGAGCAGGCAGGTGTAGACGCCGCCAGCACAGCTGGCGTGTTTGAGTGGCATCCTCGTGGCTGGGCTGGGGCTCCACGCCCGGGCCGCTGGGCGGTGCTTGCACCTGCCTCCCCTCAGCCTCACTGGGCTGAGGAGGGCCGGGGCCGTCCAGTACCGCGTGGGCGTGCGAGCGCCCCACCTTGTGCCAAGGACCTGCTCCCCCGCTGTTCCAGAACCATCGCTTCTCTGAGCCCTTCTGACCCCACCGTGGGTCAGGTGGGGCCTGGCCCTGGAACCTTGGCGTCCTGGTTTGTGAGCGGTTGCCCACCTGACCTCCCAGAGGTGGCCTACAAGAGCTATGTCCTGCTCCCAGGCTGGCTGTGCGGGCAGGGCAGGGGCTGCTCTGGACAGCTGGGGAGGAGGGCCTGAGCAGATCTCAGACCAGAAAGCCACATTGGCCCTCTGGACTGACCTCCTGTGGCCCCTGCAGCTCTGCCGGGTTCTGGCCTCCCAGCGGGAGATGTGTGGCGGGAAGGTGGGCGGAGGCCGTGCCCAGACTGCGGTCAGGGGACCAGGCTGGGCAGCGGACTTCCCAGAGACTGCCCTGGGAGCGGCCCAGAGGCAAGTGCTCAGGAGCTCAGCAGGGACCCCCACCCCCACCCCGCCCCGCAGTGGGGAGTAAGCTGGGGGAACTGGAAACTCCTCAGCCCAGAAGCGTTGGGGGGATTCCCCAGGCCACGTGGTCCCGGAGGCTGGGGGGGGGGCCTGCCCCGCCCCCCCACCCCTGCCTGCCTGCTCCCAGCTCTCGCCTCTCCTAGGTCCGAGCCCCCGACTGGGGTCCCCGCAGCAGCAGCCCCTGCCAACCTGTTAGAAACACAGGCTTGGGCCCCGCCCACCCTCCTGACGTGGGGCGGGGCGGGGCGGGTGGCTGCAGGCCCATCCCCTTGTGCCGCCCCCGGCAGGGGTGGGGAGCTGCCGCCCCTGGGTGACCGGAAGTGAGCACTTTGCCTGCCTGCCTGCCTGGTTCCCTTGTCCCGCTTCCGGGTGGGGGAGGAGGGGTGGGGTGGTTTTGTCATGAAACTTTATTCTGAGGCATTCTAGATGCACCTGCACTTGGGAGCAGTCAGAAGCCCCCGTATCCTTCCCTGGGCTCCCCCAGCGGTAACGTCTTGCGCAGCAGTGGCTCGGCGTCCCAGAGCCCTCACTGATGCTGTCCAGCTGCTTCCTGCTGCCCCCGCCCCCCCATTTCTCTTTGTTTCCAAGATTTAGTTCTTTGTAGGGGAGATTCTTACACGCATGCACACTCACAGATCTTCCATCTGCTGGTTCACTCCCCAAATGGCCCCAGCAGCCAGGCCTGGACCAGGTCAGAGGCAGGTCAGAGGCAGGACCGAGGCAGGACCTGGAGCTCCATCTGAGCCTCCCACGTGGGTGCAGGGCCCAAGCACTCGGGCCACCCCCTGCTGCTCTCCAGACGCGTTGGCAGGGAGCTGGATCGGCAGTGGCGCTCTGCTGCGGGGTGCCAGCACTTAGCCCCCTGCTGCCTGCTGCCACGCCCGGGCACAGACCTGGAGAGCAGGCGGCCTCCCCAGGCGTCCTCGGTTTCCCAAACTGCTGGCAGCCCTGGGGCTTGGCACTTCCCACTCAGCCCCGTGCTCGGGAGATCACCCAGTGGTGGTGGTGCCCGGCTGTGTTCAGGCTGTGGCTGCGCCGCGGTGGGTTTAGCTCTTCCTCCGGCAGAAGACGCGGGCTGGCTCCCCTGTTTGGCTGCTGGGCCTGAAGCCGCCTGGAGCGCTCGTGCAGGCTGCCTGTGGGAGCCGCTCTTCCTGTGCTTGTTGGCCATCTGCCCCCCCTCCCCCAGCCGCTCCATGCGTTTTGCCCATTTTCTCAGCTGGGGCCAGGCCAGGCTGGAGCCGGGAGCCTGGTGCTCCCTCTGGGTGTCCCACGTGGTTGCAGGGTCCCCAGTACCTGCCCATCTCCTGCCGGTTCCCAGGCACAGTGGGGAGCTGGACGGGCAAGTGCGGGAGCTGGGCCCCTGCTCCTGTGCGTGGGGATCAGGTGGCACTGCCTTCTGCACCACGAGGCTGCTCCTAGAAGGGCCCTTCACCGAGAAAGGGTGGGAGAGGCAGGAGGCAGATCTGGTTCATCCCTCGGATGCCTGCAACGGCTGAGGCCGGCGCTGGGAGCTGGAAACGCAGTCCAGGTCTCCCGCGTGAGCGCTGGAACCCAGTCACTAGGGCTCACCACTGCCTCCGCGGCGTGGGCGTGGGGAAGTGGACCCGGACTCCCGGACGCTGGCATCTAACCTGCGAGGCCAGACAGTGCTTTGGTGACGTCCAGTGTGTCAGTTTTTTCCTTTTATGAATCATGCTTTTGGTGTCAAGGCTGAAAGCCATTGGCCTGGCCTAGATCCCAAAGATGTTCCCGTCTGTGTTCTGAAGACTTCATAGTTTTGTGTTTTACGTTTAAATCCGTGAGCTGCTGAGTTAATGGGACGTTTGGTTACAGCACGTGGGTAGGAAGGCCGCCCTTCCTGCCTCCTCCAGTGGCACTGGCGTGCTTGTGGGGGTCTCTTTCTGGGGCTCTGCCCTGTCGGTGCCGGCCGTCTTGGTTGCTGTGTCTGAGTCCTGAGCTCACAGCCCCCGCGTCCACCTACACCACCGCCCTGCACTCAGGCCTGGCTGCGCTGTCCTGGCTCCTGATAGGGGAGGGGCCTCCCTGGGCAAAGGGGCACCTCTGCTGTCTCCCAATTGGCCCCTGCCCTGGGGGCGTGGCTCTGGGCGTGTGTCTCCAGTTGGGCTACCGCTGGTCCCACCTACTGGCTGCTGAGCTGTGGGCAAGGCCCTGGGATCAGCACCCAGGAATGTCTTGTGTACACGCGTGGGCCGCCCTCCCTCTCCTGGGGTGGTGGGATGTGACACACGTGGCCCTGGGCCTCCCTCTCCCGGGGTGGTGGGGGGTGTGACACGCGTGGCCCTGGCCCTCCCTCTCCCGGGGTGGTGGGGTGTGACACGCGTGGCCCTGGGCCTCCCTCTCCTGGGGTGGTGGGGGGTGTGACACGCGTGGCCCTGGGCCTCCCTCTCCCGGGGTGGTGGGGGTGTGACACGCGTGGCCCTGGGCCTCCCTCTCCCGGGGTGGTGGGGGGTGTGACACGCGTGGCCCTGGGCCTCCCTCTCCCGGGGTGGTGGGGGGTGTGACACGCGTGGCCCTGGGCCTCCCTCTCCCGGGGTGGTGGGGGGTGTGACACGCGTGGCCCTGGGCCTCCCTCCCTCCCTCGAAGCCGACCGTGTCTGTAGCAGCCTTGTAGCCCTGCAGGCGGGTGTCCAGGGTGGAGCAGGTGGAGCACGCCCTGGCCCCTGGTGCTGTCCCGACAGCCAGCCGGGGACTGTCATGTACCCACCTCCCACCGTGCTGCCACCAGGGGGCAAACCCAGCAAGCTGTGCGCCTGCGGTGTCGGCGCCCGAGGCAGTGCCAGCCAGAGCTGTGAAGAGGGTCCCGGAGTAGCCAGGCCTGGCAAGGGGCTTGCTCATGGCAGCGTTGCAGTGTGACAGTGCTGAGCGTCACAGCCTGGAGGTGTGCACACCGACTGGGCAGCACAGCGTCGGTCCTGGGAGCACCCGCCTGCCGCAGGCCCTTGTCTGCCCAGCCCTGTGCCCCCTCCCGTAAAGGCCCGCCACATCACTGTCCACGTGGCCGAGTGCCCACCGACCCTCCACCTGTCGCTCTGTGTGTCCCTGGCCTGGTGCCTCCAGGAGGCCTCTCAGTGGCAGAGGCTGGGCTGCTTCCCCCCAACCCTGGCGTCCCGCGTGCCCCCCGCCCTGGCCAGGCCCTACCTGCACAGCCCCTTCTGGCCCTGCTGGGCACGCAGGGAGGTGAGACTCGGGGCGGGCAGTGCCCCCGCTGCTGTCCTCTGCCCCAAGGCCTTGTGGGGGCTTCCGGGCAGCTGGCCCTGCAGCCCTCAGTCACCAGGCGACCAGCACTGTCGCCTACTTTGCGTGGACTCCAGGCCTTGGTGTGGGAGGAGAGCGTGGAAGGGAGCTGGACTCGTCTCATCCAGGGTTGGTGCCCTGGCAGGAGGAATGGGGTCCCCTCCACCCTGGCTGCGGGGGGCCCTCCTGCCGCATGGCGCTCACTTCCCTCTCTCCCGCCTGGCAGCCAGAGCCGCGGAGTCCCAGTTGAGGCCCAGCGGACCCAGCCTGTAGGCTGCTCTGTCGCCAATGAACTCCATGAACCCCATGAAACCCGCCCTGCCCCCCGCACCACACGGGTGAGTGCGGGGCCCCACGCCCACCCCCCTCAGGCCCTGGGCTCTCGGGTGCCTGTGGCCCCGGCCTCACTGGCCACTCTCCCTGTAGTGATGGTTCATTTGCATACGAGTCTTTGCCTTGGCAACAAGGCGCCACTCAGCCGGCCGGCTCGCTGTCCGTGGTCACCACCGTGTGGGGCGTCGGCAACACGGCACAGAGCCAGGTGAGCACGGCCGGGCCCACCCCGAGCGCTGAGCGGGGAGGCTGGCGTGGTGTGGGGATGGGCTTCCTGACCTCTTGGGCCCTTGCAAATCTGCCAGAGTTCCCGCTGCCACGCCCACTTGGCTCCCACCGCGGGCGGGGGTTCCCCGGTTCCCCTTCCCCCTGGCCCAGGCATCCTGGTCCCAGCCCTCAGGGCCGCTGCCTGAAGCAAGTTGCTTGACAGGTTCCCTTCGTGATTCCTGCTTCCTCCTAGGTCTTGGGGAACCCCATGGTCCCTGCGGGGAGCCCCCCTGGCAGCTCCATGATGCCTGGTGTGGCCGGCGGCAGCTCCGCCCTGACCTCCCCGCAGTGCCTGGGCCAGCAGGCGTTTGTCGACGGCAGTGCCAGCAAGGGCTACGTGCAGCAAGGCGTGTACAGCCGTGGGGGCTACCCTGGGGGCCCCGGCTTCAGCACCGGGTAAGCAGGTGCCTCAGCTGGCAGGCACGCCAGGAGCCATCAGCCTGCGGCACCGTGGAACCGTGCCTCGCTGCTAGCCCGGACAGCTACAGTGGAGGGTCTAGAAAGAGTGCTGTGGGCCCTGGGGGAGCCGGTGCAGAGCGTGGCAGCCCCCTGTCTCTTGCAGGTATGCAGGTGGTGCAGGGGGCCTGGGCCTCCCCTCCCACACTGCCCGGCCCTCCACTGACTTCACACAAGCAGCAGCTGCTGCTGCCGTGGCTGCAGCTGCTGCCACGGCCACGGCCACGGCCACGGCCACTGTGGCTGCCCTGCAGGAGAAGCAGAGCCAGGAGCTGAGCCAGTATGGAGCGGTGAGCCCCCACAGCTCCTCCCACGAGGGCGGGACTCGGGCATGAGGGTCTGAGGGGCGAGGATGCCGGTAGGGGGACGTGTGCCCGTCACAGCGGGGGCCGCGGGCCATTGTGGATGGCACTGACCATTCCACTTTGTTCTCTTCCCAGATGGGGGCCGGACAGTCTTTTAACAGCCAGTTTCTGCAGCACGGAAGCCCCCGGGGGCCCAGCGTCCCCGCTGGCATGAACCCTAGTGGCATGGGAGGGGTGATGGGCCCGTCTGGCCTCTCCCCCATGGCCATGAACCCCACCCGGGCAGCAGGTGTGACGCCCTTGTATGCAGGGCAGCGCCTGCCGCAGCATGGGTACCCCGGGCCTCCCCAGGCCCAGCCACTGCCCCGACAGGGGGTCAAGAGGAGCTACTCGGAGGTGAGTGTGCAGCCCGCCCCACCCGAGGCCTGGGGCGCCCTCAGAGCTGTGGTAAGAGCGGCTTCTGTAGCGAGAGAAGACGGTGCCCCAGCAGAGTCCCAAGAGGCCTGCGCCCAGCAGAGGGGCCGCTGCGCCCTCCTCTGACGCTCTGCTCTCTCCCTCTGGGCGTTTGCTCTTCTTCAGGTGTATCCGGGGCAGCACTACCTGCAAGGAGGCCAGTACGTGCCCAGCACTGCCCAGTACGCCCCCGGCCCCGGGCAGCCCCCCGCCCCCTCCCCCTCCTACCCCGGGCACAGGCTGCCCCTGCAGCAGCAGGGCGTGGGCCAGTCCCTGTCTGCTCCCGGCCCTGCAGGACTGCATTACAAGGTAGGGCCGGCTCCCCCGGGCCCGTGCTGGGTTCTGTGCCACATGTCCCCTGGGGGCCTCCGAGGAGTGACAGCTGGGAGGGGTGTCTGCATCCACCTGGGGTCCAGAGCCTCCTGGGGTCCGGCCAGTGCAGGAGCATCTCCAGGTGGGGGGCTCTCAGGGACCATCTGTCTCGGTGGAAATTCAGCGTAGGGAGCTGCAGGCAGCACCCAAGCCATTCTGATGTCCTCTGTGTCAGTGTCCCGGTCCCTCTGCTTGTCGCGGAAACGCCTGCGAGGGGCCAGGCCTGCTCTGCAGGCCCTGTGCCCCATGGGGAGTGTGGGGGTGGCTGAGGGGAGGAGAGAGCGCAGCCCCGCAGCGTGCGAGCTCACAGCTCTATCTGGAGCCGTGGTTGTTCCGCCGTGAGTCAGTGTTGTTCCTTGTTGACGATCGGGAAAGGAGGAGGGCAGGTAGAGAACAGGGCGGCACCCCGTGTGCGCTGGGCCTCCAGGGCCAGGTCCACAGCCCCCGGCGCACTCAGCTTTCTCTCCCGCAGCCCACAGAGCCGTTCAGCGGGCAGGGCGCCAGCTTCAACGGGGCCGGCGTCAGCTACAGCCTGAGTGGGGTATGGGCCCTGGCCGGGCGGACGGGAGGGGAGGCTCCTGGGGTGGGCCCGTGGAGTAAGGGCACCCGCCATCTGCCCTGTCTGTGCTCGACCCTACAGCCTGCCCGTTCCATCCCCGGCTACCCCAGCTCCCCACTGCCAGGGAACCCCACACCACCCGTGACTCCCAGCGGCAGCCTGCCCTACATGTCTCCAAGCCAGGAGGTCAAGGCTCCCTTCCTGCCCGACCTCAAGCCAGGCCTCGGCTCCCTGCACCCGTCACCCTCTGGTGAGCGCTCAGAACCACAGCAGTGACCAGGCCAGGGCGGGGGCGGGGGCTCGCAGGGAGTCTGGGGTGATGGGACGGCCACTGGGTGCTGGAGAAAAGCCCAGGATTCCGCCTGGCGGCCGCAGCGCCACCACCATTGCACGGCTGTCGGAGGCTGTGGGTGGGCTCTAGAGAAACACCACACACACACACACACACACACACACACACACACACACGAGTCAGCCTGCGGTGTCAGGAGTTTCTGATTCCTCCCCGGCCGAGCCCGTTCCTGGTGAGGACCTCTGCTTCTGGGTCGAGTGCAGGATGGCGGCAGGTGGCACGCAGTCCCCGTGTCTCTGAAAGCACTGGGCCCGCTCTCTGAGGTGCGGGCTGTGTTGCCTGCCATCGTTCAGGGGACGGCGGGCCAGGTGACCGAGCCAGGACAGGGCAGGAGGGGCCAAGGCGCCGCAGCTCACGCGGGGGCTGCCTCCAGGTGGCGGCCCCTGCGACGAGCTGCGGCTGACTTTCCCGGTGCGGGACGGGGTGGTGCTGGAGCCCTTCCGCCTGCAGCACAACCTGGCAGTGAGCAACCACGCCTTCCAGCTGCGGGACTCGGTCTACAAGACGCTCATGCTGAGGTGAGACCCCTACCCCACCTGCACGGCCCGCCCCGCGCCCGTCCGCGCTCAGCACCGGCCCTCCGCCCATCCCACGCAGGCCCGACCTGGAGCTGCAGTTCAAGTGCTACCACCACGAGGACCGGCAGATGAACACCAACTGGCCGGCCTCGGTGCAGGTCAGCGTCAACGCCACGCCCCTCAGCATCGAGCGTGGCGACAACAAGACCTCGCACAAGCCGCTCTACCTGAAGCACGTGTGCCAGCCGGGCCGCAACACCATCCAGATCACCGTCACCGCCTGCTGCTGCGTGCGTGCGGGCCCCGGGGCTCCAGCCTGGCCCCCCCTCCCGTTACCGCCCTGCGGTTTCCCTCTGAGTCGTTTTCCTTTAAGGAAAGAGCGCTGGCTCCCCACACCCTGTCTTCTGCTTAGACTGCACGTATCAGATTCCATGCTCTTAGCTGTGAGAAACCTCGCGCGGTTCCAAGTCCCCGGCTGAGGACTTGCAGCACGTAGGTCAGGTCCTGGGCAGAGCTGGGCTGGGCCGGGCCGGGCCGGGCCTGGAGCCCGCAGCCTGGCTGCTCCCTGCTAAGGGACTCCGGAGCCAGCACGGGTAACAGGATGCTGTAGGCTGGGGGTGTCCGGGGGGCTCTGGGTGCTTGTGTTTCAACAGAGAGATGAGCACTGGGCAGTGCTTGGACGTCAAGTGCAGGCAGCACAGCACAGGTGTGCTTAGGGAGGGGCGTGGCTAGCAGCACGGGTTGCTGGGCTCACGGCGGGAGGCGGCAGCGCCCTCCCCGTGCCTCCTGCTCCAAGGAGGACGGGGCCCAGCTGCCCAGGAGCATGGCTGGCCCGGTCTGCCCCAGACCCTTGGCTCTCCGCATCCTAGATGCCCTGCTCGCCTCCCAGTCCCCCTGACGGCGTTTTCCGGTCGTGTTGCAGTCCCACCTCTTCGTGCTGCAGCTGGTGCACCGGCCGGCCGTGCGCTCCGTGCTGCAGGGCCTCCTCAAGAAACGCCTTCTGCCCGCGGAGCACTGCATCACCAAGAGTGAGCGCCGCCACCTGCCCCGGCCCCGGCCCCGGCCGAGCGCTGCTGCCCCTGGGCAGTGTCCCCGCCGCGTGAGGCCGTCTCCCGGGCATGGGTCAGTGGCGCCGCGGCAGGGACCGCCGACTCACGTCCTTTCCCCGTTCCTGTCAGTAAAGCGCAACTTCAGCAGTGGCACCATCCCGGGCACCCCTGGGCCCAACGGGGAGGACGGCGTGGAGCAGACGGCCATCAAGGTGTCCCTGAAGTGCCCCATCACCTTCCGCAGGATCCAGCTCCCCGCCCGGGGCCACGACTGTCGCCACATACAGGTGGGTGCTCCCAGCTTCGCCAGTTGATGATTCCTTTTTAAAGGTTTATTTGCAAGAGCGTTAGAGGGAGAAATAGGGGCCGGCGCCGCGGCTCACTAGGCTAATCCTCCGCCTAGCGGCGCCGGCACACCGGGTTCTAGTCCCGGTCGGGGCGCCGGATTCTGTCCCGGTTGCCCCTCTTCCAGGCCAGCCCTCTGCTGTGGCCAGGGAGTGCAGTGGAGGATGGCCCAGGTGCTTGGGCCCTGCACCCCATGGGAGACCAGGAAAAGCACCTGGCTCCTGGCTCCTGCCATCGGATCAGCGCGGTGCGCCGGCTGCAGCGCGCCGGCCGCGGCGGCCATTGGAGGGTGAACCAACGGCAAAGGAAGACCTTTCTCTCTGTCTCTCTCTCTCACTGTCCACTCTGCCTGTCAAAAAAAAAAAAAAAAAAAAAAAGAGGGAGAAATAGGGAGATCTTGTGTGTGCTGGCTCACTCCCTAAATGGCCACCACAGCCAGGAGCCAGCAACTCCATCTGGGTTTCTCACATGAGTGGCAGGGCCTGAAGCACTCGGGCAGGTGAGGGACGCCGGCGTTCTGTGTGGGCTCTGGTCCATGTCCCAGTGGCTGCTCCAGTTCCCATCCAGCTCCCTGTTAACGCACAGGGAAAGCAGCGGGGGATGGCCGGCCTGAGTGTCTGGGCCCGTGATGAAAGATGGCCTCTTGCTCATTTTCCACAGTGCTTCGACCTGGAGTCGTACCTGCAGCTCAACTGTGAGCGGGGGACCTGGAGGTGCCCCGTATGCAAGTGAGTCTCCGAGGCGTGCTGTATGGCGGGGAGGGCTCCCCACTTCTTCAGACTTCTGGGGGTGAGACTGCCAGCAGTGTGACCAAATGTGTAAGCCTGGGGACGTCTGTGCTGGTGTCAACAGCACAGCCTAGGATGGTGTGGCTCAGGGCAGAAACCCTATACAGGGTCACCCCTCGTAGCAACGCCTGACGCAGGGTTCCCTCACAGCGTCACCTTAGGCAGAGTCACAATCAACATAGAGTCTGTCACCTCAGACACTCACAAATGATGACCTCGTGTGTCATGTCACCTCACACAGGGCCACCTCACACAGGGTCACCTCAGTCACCACACCCAGGACCACCTCACACAGGACCACCTCACAGTGTCACCTCAGTCACAGCACAGGGTCACCTCAGTCACCACACACAGGGCCACCTCACACAGGGTCACCTCAGTCACCACACACAGGGCCACCTCACAGCGTCACCTTAGGTAGGCCGCTATAGAGTCACTGCGTGTGTCACCTCAGTCAACTCACAGTCTGTCACCTCAGACACTCACAAATGATGACCTCGTGTGTCAGTCACCTCATACAGGGTCACCTCACACTGTCACTTCAGTCACCTCACACAGGGCCTCCTCAGTCACCTCACAGGGTCACCCCACCCTGTGTCACCTCAGTCACCTCACACTATGTCACCTCAGTCACCTCACAGGGTCACCCCACCTTGTGTCACCTCAGTCACCTCACACAGGGCCACCTCAGTCACCTTCACAGGGTCACCTCAGTCACCTCACAGGGTCGCCCCGCACTGTGCCACCTCAGTCACCTCACAGGGACACCCCGCACTGTGTCACCTCAGTCACCTCACACAACGTCACCTCAGTCACCACACACTGTGTCACCTCAGTCACCTCACAGGGCCACCTCAGTCACCTCACAGGGTCACCCCACACTCTGTCACCTCAGTCACCTCACAGGGTCACCTCACACAGGGCCACCTCAGTCACCTCACACAACGTCACCTCAGTCACCACACACTGTGTCACCTCAGTCACCTCACAGGGCCACCTCAGTCACCTCACAGGGTCACCCCACACTCTGTCACCTCAGTCACCTCACAGGGTCACCTCACACAGGGCCACCTCAGTCACCTCACAGGGTCACCCCGCACTGTGTTACCTCACAGGGTCACCCCGCACTGTGTCACCTCAGTCACCTCACAGGGACACCCCACCCTGTGTCACCTCAGTCACCTTCACAGAGTCACCTCAGTCACCTCACAGGGTCACCCCGCACTGTGTCACCTCAGTCACCTCACAGGGTCACCCCGCACTGTGTCACCTCAGTCACCTCACACAGGGTCACCCCGCACTGTGTCACCTCAGTCACCTCAGTCACCTCACAGGGTCACCTCAGTCACCTCACAGGGTCACCCCGCACTGTGTCATCTCAGTCACCTCACAGGGTCACCCCGCACTGTGTCACCTCAGTCACCTCAGTCACCTCACAGGGTCACCTCAGTCACCTCACAGGGTCACCCCGCACTGTGTCATCTCAGTCACCTCACAGGGTCACCCCACACTGTGTCACCTCAGTCACCTCACAGGGACACCCCACACTGTGTCACCTCAGTCACCTCACAGGGACACCCCACCCTGTGTCACCTCAGTCACCTCACAGGGTCACCCCGCACTGTGTCACCTCAGTCACCTCACAGGGTCACCTCACATTGTGTCATCTCAGTCACCTCACACAGGGCCACCTCAGTCACCTCACAGGGTCACCCCACATCGTGTCACCTCAGTCACCTCACAGGGTCACCTCAGTCACCTCACAGGGTCACCCCGCACTGTGTCATCTCAGTCACCTCACAGGGACACCCCACCCTGTGTCACCTCAGTCACCTCACACAGGGCCACCTCAGTCACCTCACAGGGTCACCCCACATTGTGTCACCTCAGTCACCTCACAGGGTCACCCCGGACTGTGTCACCTCAGTCACCTCACAGAGTCACCTCACATTGTGTCATCTCAGTCACCTCACACAGGGCCACCTCAGTCACCTCACAGGGTCACCCCGCACTGTGTCACCTCAGTCACCTCACAGGTCGCCCCGCACTGTGTTACCTCAGTCACCTCACAGGGTCACCCCGCACTGTGTCACCTCAGTCACCTCACACAGGGTTGTCTCATCCAGGGTCACCACGCACAGAGGCAGCACGTGAAGGTCTTGGGCTGTGACAGGGCTGTGCCCAGGATGAGACTGGGCAAGGCCTCTGCGCCTGTCCCCTTTGTTTCCCACAGCAAGACGGCGTTGCTGGAGGGCCTGGAGGTGGACCAGTACATGCTGGGCATCCTGATCTACATTCAGAAGTAAGCGCGCTCGCGGCCTCCCAGCGTCCGGTGGCCCGCGGAAGCCCCGGGACAGGCGGGAGACGCCCCTGGCTGCGTTCGGCAGGGAGGGGCGGCGGGCCGGGGGTGAGCGGCCGCACGTGTCCCCCGCAGCTCCGACTACGAGGAGATCACCATCGACCCCACGTGCAGCTGGAAGCCCGTGCCCGTCAAGCCCGACGTGCACATCAAGGAGGAGCCCGACGGGCCGGTGCTGAAGCGCTGCCGCACCGTGAGCCCCGCACACGTGCTCATGCCCAGCGTGATGGAGATGATCGCCGCCCTGGGCCCCAGCGCTGCTCCCTGCGCCCCCCTGCAGCCCCCCGCCGCCCCCGCCCCCGGCGACTACCCTGGCCAGGGTGAGTACCGCCCGCCCAGGCAGGTGACTCATCCCCTGCAGACCAGTGTCCTCGCCCGGGACTGTCAGGGTGCCTGCCGCCCCCCAGGACCTGACTCTCCTCTCACAGGTTCCAGCTTCCTGGGGCCCGGAACCTTCTCCGAGTCTTTTCCACCGACCACGCCCAGCACCCCCACCCTTGCTGAGTTCACCCCAGGGCCACCCCCCATCTCCTACCAGTCTGACATTCCCAGCAGCCTCCTGACGCCAGAGAAGTCGGCTCCCTGTCTCCCAGGCCAGGTCAGTGCCATGCCAAGGGCCAGGCGGGGCTGTCACCCCGGAGCCCTGGGCTCTTCCAGCAAGTTCTCTCCATCCATAGATGGCACCAGTGAGCCACCTGGACCCAGCCCACAACCCTGGGCCACCAGGGCTGCACACCTCTAACCTCGGAGCCCCCGCAGGTCCCCAGCTGCACCATCCAAACCCTCCAGCATCCCGGCAGCCCCTGGGCCAGGTGAACTCAGGGCCCACCGGCGAGCTGGCCTTCAATCCTGCCACAGGCGTGATGGGGCCCCCCAGCGTGTCTGGGGCGGGGGAGGCCCCGGAACCAGCTCTGGACGTGAGTACCAGGCCCTGCGCTGCCAGCGCATGGGAGCCCACAGCACCCACATCCCTGGTGGCAGGGGCGGGATGGGGAGCGCTCGGGGAGCCTGGTGCTCACAGCGCGGCCCGGACTGGCTGCGTGCCTGGTCTGTGAGTGACTTGCTCCTGGGGGCTGGTGGCGGGCGTGGTGGCGTCCTCAGCCCAGAGCGGGCTGGGGCCCACAGTCCTTAAGAGACCTGTCTGCCTGCTCAGGGCACCTGCAGCCCAGCTTCGAATGCAGACTTGGCTACAGGATAGGCAGTCGTCGGTCCCCAGACCATGACAGAAACTCGCTGCCCAGCAGGCAGAAAATTAGAGCAGCTCCGAGCAGAGAGCCCGGGGGCCGGGGGCCGGGGGCCGGGGCCGTGCCCGCCGCGTTCGCTCCCGAGAGGCCCGCGGGCACGCGTGGCCTGTGCACCTCAGCTCTCCGGAGCAGCCCTCCCCCGCTGGCGTGGAGAACCACCCCGGGGCGTGGCAGGCCCGAGCCAGCACTGCTGACGGGCGTCGCTTTGTCCCCAGCTGCTCCCGGAACTGACCAACCCGGACGAGCTCCTGTCCTACCTGGGCCCACCCGACCTCCCCTCCAACAGCAACGACGACCTGCTCGCTCTCTTTGAGAACAACTGACTCGCGGATGTCACCATGGCCCTGCCCGCCACGCCCCGCCCCGCGGGGCCCGCCGGGGTGGCCTGCGGGGCCCGGTCTGTGCTGTGGGGTGGGGTGGGGGCCCAGGCCAGAGGCCCGCCCTCCTCCAGGCTGGCCCGCTGCAGCACGGCTTTGGCCGGGGGGCCCTGCCCACCCCACCTCGCCATGTCCACACTCCTCGCCCCTGCGTTTCCAGCCCTGCCTGCCCCCGCCCTGCCTGCATCTTGTCCAGTGTTGACCCTTCTGCTTGATCCCTTCTCGACCTCAAAGAGCAGGCGTGCAGCGAGGCTGGCCCCGTCTCCGGGCCTGCGGCCCCGACAGCCCCTGTGCCCAGCGTCCCCGGCTCTTGAAACCACAAGGCTCGCCGGCCAGCAGGGGCCTGAGCTCTTCCAGCCGGACCAGTCCCTGGCACAGCTTCAGGCCAAGGCCAGGGTGGGGCTGCCGCGGAGCACCATGGTGCGCCCGGCGCAGGGACCCGGCCAGCTGAGGCAGGGCAGGCAGCGAGGCCACCTGCCCCAGAGCGCCCCTCTCCCAGCTTCCTGTGTGCGGACAGCTCCGGGAGGGACGTCCAGCAGGGAGGGCCGGGCTCCCAGCGCGCCCTGGCGGGACTGTCCAGTGGGCTGCGCTCCCGAGTCCCCTGCTGCCCGAAAGTGAAGTTAGTGCAGCTGTGTTTTTAAAACCGCCTCCCCTGGCTCCACCCTGCGGCTCGTGCCCGGGGAGGAGGCAGCTGCCGCCTGCTGGCCCGGGGCCCACTCTCCCGTCTGTGCGGTCTCTATTAAAGGACTCCCTCCTGGTGGACCCGCGGTCCTGCTTTGTCTCCGGGGGCCAGCCGGCCTGCCAGCGGCTCCGCAGCCCCAGCTGTGCTCTGGGTGTTCCCAGCCGAGGCGCAGCTGCTCCCTCCCCGCGGTAAATTTCCTTTTCCCTGGAATTTTCCAAGTTGGCTTCAGCATTCCTGTTTCGTGACATAGCCCAGGCTCACCCAGGAGAGACATTTGCACCATGTCACCTTCCCTGGGCGTGCCTCAGGGCAGGGGCCGGTGCAGCTGGGGCCTTGCCAGTGTGGAGCACCGTCCCAGGGGCTCTGCTCACTCCCCCACCCCCAGCGCACACACAGCAGGTGCAGAGTGTCCTGGCTGCCATCTGCCTGTCAGGCCTGGTGGGGTCCAGTTACCACCTCTGCCTGGGCCCTGAGGCCCCGCCCAGCTGGAGAGGTGGGGGATGGGCACCTCCGGGAGGAGGGGCCCTGAGACCTGCTCTGCTCTGTGGAGAAGCAGGAGTCTGTGGGAGTGGGAGGGAGGGCAGGGCCCCTGGACTCTGAGTGTCCGTGCCCTCTGCGGCCACACAGGCGTGCCTTTTTGTCCCCTTCCAGAGGGGAGAGGGAAGGAGCAGCAGCAGGCACGCGGCTGGGGCTGGGGTCCGGGACAGAGCCACAGCCCCCGGCCAGCGGGCATCACAGGACAGGGGAGCACCCGCCCACTCATGCCCAGCTGGGGCGTCCTGAGGGATAAACCAGGGTGCTGCTGGCTGCCCGGAAGCCCAGCCTCGGGGCGCAGGACATCCTGGAGCCACAGCTGGGCCTGCAGCCTGGCGCCCTCACGTGAACATGTCTGAGACACGGGTGGACAGGCAAGGTGCACGAGCTCACAGCATGCTCCAGGCCAGGCCTGGCGTGTTGGGATTCACACCCACATGCTCAGGCGGCAGAGGACAGCAGGGAGCAGCCCGGCCCAGAGCTGCCCCGAGGGGGGTGGGGCCGCACCGGGGAGGGTCCTGGGGAAGCAGTGACTTCACAGGTTTTTCCCTTTAGCGTCCCTGGGCGTCACATCTTACGTTTGTGTCCCTTGGGCGTCACATCTTACGTTTGTGCAAGTGGCACATGACTTGAAATAAGCTCACGAGACCTAACAGGCGTCCACACAGCGGCAGGAGAACACGTCCTGTCAGGTGCACGTGAATGTGACCCAGGGCAGACCACGCACCGGGGCACCGAGCGAGTCTTGGTGAAGACATGAAAATCTTGCCAATGACCCTCTCCACTCACAATGGAATAAAAAATTTATAGCGGAAGAAAAAAGAAAATTTGTGAATACGTGGCAGTTAACAAAAGGGGCAAAATCACACGAGAACTTAGAAAATGAGACGACTGAAACGGAAACAGCAAAGCCTGAGATACAGCAGGAGCAGTGCTAAGAGGGAAACGGAGCTGCCCAGGCCTACGCTGAAGAAGGGGGCGGACGGGCGCGCTCGGCACCTTAAACCACTGCATCCCCTGACACAGGCCCTAGGATCGAGTCCTGCCTCAGCTTCCCGCTAATGTGCCTGGGAAGGCGGCAGATGATGGGAGACCTGGCTTTGACCTGGCCAGTCCTGGCTGTTTTGGGCATTTGGGGAGTGAACCAGTGGACTGAAGATCTCTTTCTCTGTCATTCTGCCTTTCAAATAAATCCTATATATATATAATACATATATATATATATATATATAATCTTTTATCCACTGCTTCAGATGGCCCCAACGGCCAGAGCTGGGCTGATCTGAAGCCAGGAGCTACTTCTGGGTCTCCCATGTGAGTGAGGGGCCCGAGCACTTGAGCCGCCTTCCACTGATTCCCAGGCCATTAGCAGGGAGCTGGATGGGAAGTGGTGTTACTGGGACTTGAACTGGCACCCAAGGGATGCCGGCACTGCAGCTGGAGGCTGAAGCTGCTACGCCACAGCGCCAGTCCCCAAATGAATTAAAGGAGAGAGAGCTCAATAACAATGGTACACAAAGAGTAGAAAAAGAGCAAAGTAAAACCAAAGCTAATGGAAGGGAAAAGTAAAGATAAAACAGAATGGAGGAAAAAGAGAACCGATGTAGACAAAATTGGCTCTTTTGTCAAATGTAGCAAAGCTTTAGCTCTAGACTGACTAGGGGAGACAGAGGATGCAAATGACTGACAGCTGCACTGAACGTGGGGCGTTAACTGCTACCTCACAAAGTAAAGGGATGATGGCGCCACGAGCTGCTCTGTGCCGACAGATCACGTACCCCGGAAGAAATGGGCGAATTTCTAAAGACACAAATGGCCGAAACTGACAGTGGTTTGAACAACAGATGCACTGAGCCTCAAAGCCTTCTGTTTGGTCCGTAGATGAAGGGAGAGACTTGATCTAACTATGGCCTCTCAGTGACAGGCCCAGGGGCCAGTGCTGTAGGGCGGAGGGTCGCGCCGTTGCCCGAGAAGCTCACGTTTCTCATGGGCACTGGTTTGAGTCCTGGCTGCTCCACTTCTGATCCAGCTCCCTGCTAACGCTCCTGGGAAGGTAGCAGAAAATGGCCCAAATGCTTGGGCCTCTGCTACCCATGTGGAAAACTGGGTAGAGCTCCAGGCTCCTGGCCACAGTCTAGCCCAGCCTCTGCTGTTGCAGACTTTCGGGGAGCGAAGCAGCTGTGGTAGATTCTCTGTCTCTTCCTCTCTCTCTGTCAAACTGCCTTTCAAATACATAAAATACTATTTTAAAAATGGGGGCTGGCATTGTGGCGTAGATAGATAGAACCGCTACCTGTGACAAGGCATCCCATATGGGCACTGCTTTCCCAGACCATAGCAGAGAGCTGGATTGGACGTGGAGCAGCCGGGACTCAAACTGGCAGCCACATGGGATGTTGGCGCTGCAGGTGGTGGCTCCGCCCGCTTCCAAATGCTGAGGGGGGACAGCGCCTGCCTCCTGGGCCAGGCCCCCCCCCGGTCCCCCTGCAGGAGTGGATCCGGCCTGGGCGCCTCTTGTTGGCTGCTGTGACTCCTGAGGTGGCCCAGCCTGTCTGCCTGCAGGGGCTGGCGCCGAGGGACAAGTGCCCAGGCACCAGCCGGACGCCACTGGGTCCCGGCTGCTGAGGCCCTCTCTCATCTGGTGCTCACAGGTTGGGCTGGGAAAGTGTCCGCTGGTCTGCCGTAAGACCGGTGGCCGAGGGAGACCTGTGGCCCACAGTTCCGCGTGGGCTGGAGTCTGCTGTTGGCAGCACGGCCAAGCACAGCATAGCAAGAGCCTGGCACCCCAAGCCCCCACCTGCTCCCTCTCCCTGGGCGACAGCAGCCCTGGCTCGCCCACCCTGGGGGTGCTCCCGGGGAGTGGGACCCAGAGGGTGTTGTGGGCTGGCTCCCAGGACGTCGCCTGCCTGCGGGCAGCAAAGTGCCCTCCTCTGGGCTGTCGCCCAGGGAAAGGGAGCAGGTGGGGGCTTGGGGTGCCAGGCTCTTGCTTTGCTGTGCTTGGCCGTGCTGCCAACAGCAGACTCCGGCCCGCGCGGAACTGTGGGGCACTGGTGCGGGAACATGGACATGAGGGTCAGCATTGGCCTGGAGCTGGCGCCAATGTCGAGGGGGGTGCAGAGAGAAGATGCCCAGTGCCAGGTCTCCAGTGCTGGCTGGGACCATCAGCTGGCCTTTGCTGCTTTCGTAAGAAAAGCAGACGTCCTCGCAGTCGGCCTGGTGCTTTCCACCGTGTTCCAACAGGGCCACCCAGGACCACAAAGCCAGAGGGGCCCAGGGGCTTCAGTCCCTCGGGCGGAGAGACCTGGGACCTCCCCTCCCCTTCCTCCCTGGGAGCGGGGTTGGTGCCGGCGAGGCCTGCTCCGCCCGGGGCTGCTTGCAGTGAGGGCTGTTGCTTCTGCACCCAAGGACCCCTCATGGTGAAAATAAATAAACAAGCAAACAACTAAACAAACGAAATGTGAACGATCCAGGAGCGGAGCAGCAGCCTCTCCGTCGGTGCTGGATGCATCCCGGCGCAGCCGCAGCCGAGCCTGTTTCCTTCAACACTAAACGCGCTCTCACGATTGCCCCAAACTCGGAAGCAAGCAAGACAGCCTCCAGTGGGGACCGAATGACTGTGGCTCTTCCAGACACCAAAAGGAAACCCACCACCCAGACAGGAAAAGGAAGGTTATAGGCATAAGTTTGTTTTTGTTTTTGTTTTTGACGGGCAGAGTTAGACAGTGAGAGAGAGACAGAGAGAAAGGTCTTCCTTCCGTTGGTTCACCCCCCAAATGGTCACTATGGCTGGCGCTGCGCCGATCCGAAGCCAGGAGCCAGGTGCTTCTCCTGGTCTCCCATGGGGTGCAGGGCCCAAGCACTTGGGCCATCCTCCACTGCCTTCCCGGGCCACAGCAGAGAGCTGGCCTGGAAGAGGAGCCACCGGGACAGAACCGGTGCCCCAACCGGGACTAGAACCCAGGGTACTGGCGCAGCAAGTGGAGGATTAGCTAAGTGAGTTGCGGCGCCGGCCAAGCATAAGTTTTTGAAAGAAAGAAGCCAACCTGGAAAAGCCACACATCGCGTGATCTCAACCCTGAGACGCTCTGGGAAGGGCAGAACCACAGAAATCCAAGTAAGGAGACGAGGGGGCTGTGGGATGCAAGGTGTGAACCCAAAAAGCTCTAGAAAGTAGTCCAGTTCATTAAAAACTTGGCGTCTCTAGGGAGACCCTTGCTGCCATGTGCCTCAGACCCTGCCCACATGGGCTCTCCCCCAGGGTGGGCACAGGGACTCGGCCTTCCCACTACCAGGCTGGTTATGTGTGGGTGCAGGCCTGTCGGGTAGTGATGGGGCCTGTGCCCGCCCTTCCCGTCCAGCTGCCTGCTATGGCCTGGGAAAGCAGTGGAAGAAGGGCCAAGTGCTGGGGCTCCCACACCCCTGTGGGAGACTGGAAAGAATTTCTTGGTTCCTGGCTTCAGATTGGTGAAGCTCTAGCCATTGTGGCCATCTGGGGAGTGAACCAGCAGATGAAAGATCTCTCTCTCTCTCTCTGCTTCTGCCTCTC